CAAATATGGTAAAAGAATGGAAACGAGAAAAAAAAATAACAAACGTCACTCAGAGAATTGCATGAAGGAAAACATCGAAAAGCTGAGATGACTGATAGATTCGTCCAGGGGTGTGTAATGGGGAGGTGGAGGGGGGGGGGGGGGGGGGTAGGGGGCATCCATACCTCGAGATAAGGGAGGGGCAGTCTCAAAAAAGTTTTCGGCGCTTCAGGCCTCAGTTTGGTCTAAAAATAAGGGGAGGGGCGGGCCCCCCGGGCCCCTCCCCTGGATCCGTCAATGACAGGTGTTAGGGGCTGTTCTTAGATAGGAAGCGTCTTTTGTCTTAGCTAAATTTCAAACGAAATGTGCCGTTTACACGGGATAGATTCAGTCTTATTTAGGGCGCGTCTTATGTAAGAAGGGTGTTATTTTTCCTCGTATAAATGGCCCTAATGTTACCATTTGCAAGGGTATAACGGGAGTTTTTTTGCCTTATTAACCCTGCGAAGCGAGGACTGTAGTGATATCGCAAAATGATACCCCTATCACCACAATAACTACAATCCACTTAAACTCTATAAAGAATTATGAGTGGTCCAGTGCTGTGTCCTTTCGAATTTCCCAAAGTATCACATGCTTGCCACACTTGCAGAAGTAGAGTGCAGAAGAGTGGGGTTAAGAGGAGGGAAATCCACTGGAATCACTGGGAATCTCTAATAAGTTAAACTGTATGTATGGTTTGTACGGGAAAGTAGGAGAGATGAAAGCCAAATAATGGGGGAGACAGTGGTGGATCTAGGGTAGGCTCCCGGGGGACCCATTCCTCTACCTTATTTTAAGCAGCAACTGAGAAGTGTGAAGGAACAAGAAAAATCAATTTTGAGGTTTGGACCCCACCTCTTCTCTTAGGGACTAGATGATTGGGCCCCTAATTACTTAAAGATCTGAATCCGGCTGCCATTGCTTATCTTCATAGTTAGCCTGCCAGGAAGTTCTCCAAGAAGCGACTCGCAAGGGAACGCGAGAGCGTAGCCGACAGGATCGTTCGCGCGAGGAAAGTTTTGGCGCCGGAGCTGACTTGTGACTCCCCCAAATGGACAGATTGCTCGCAGGCTACTTCTTACTCACCAGTGGCGATCCAGGGGAGATTCCCCTTAGTTTTAGACCTTCAGGGTCTGGATGATCGCCCCCCCTGTTATCTGAAGGTCTGGATCAGCAACTGCTCACCTATCCTTTTCGTTAACAAGGAGCATATTAAAGGCCGCAAGAAGAAATAAGAGAGGAACCGCTCACTAAAGTGCCCTTCCGCATTATTTGTCTCCACGTCCCCGGGGTTGGGTAAAAAAAAAAAACAAAAACAAACAAAAACAAAACATACCTTTCATGCAAGGAGGAAACAAGAAGACATAAAACAAGAAATATCGCCAGCATTCGTCCCATGGTGAAACTTAAGATTTTCAACTGTAAAAACAATATTATCAAGTCTTAAGTACACGTAAAAACTCAACTTTCTTTGCAGGAGTAAGCTGTGACCAAACTAAAAAAAAACTAGTCCTGTTTAGCATTATCAAGAGCCAAAATGGACACTTAGAAGAATGGGAAAATACTGTTACTTTGCGGCTCTACTCTACTAATATTATTTGTAACCGTTTCTAATCTTTTTATGTTAATTTCAATTGCAGAAAAAGGAATATCACTTTCCACTTACCAAATTCGCCTTGCTTCGCTGCTGCAGTGCTTTAATTCACCGTGTTGCAAAAGATTTATAACTGTTGCCTTTAAATAGTTTTATGAACCGATCATAGATGATAGCTGATCAATCTGTGCTGATTGCCCTGATTCCATATCTGGTTACTCTTCCGGGAGGAAAGAGATACCGCAGAATACAAGGAGGTTTACTTATCAAACTCGGCATCTGAGAGACTTGAGTATCCGACCGGCATAAAATGATAAAGTAAAGGTAAAAACAAGTGTTTTCATAAACAGTCATATTACAAAATAACTTCGTTTTCTGTTGGTAGGACAACTAAAATGGCTTTTCTCTCAACAAAAGTGATTCAAAAGGTGCCTTTCTTTTCGGATAAACAACACAGCAACAAAAACCCGTTTTCTCTCATTCATTTGGTACGTTTACTTGGGATTTCATTTATCTTTGTCAGAAAAGGCTAAATGTTAATACCGGCGGTAACAGGCTAATTGCCTTGTTTGCTATGCTAAAGACCCCGTGTAAAGGTCAGAAATCTTTCTCAAGATAGCGTAAAGAATTGCTTCAAGAAAAAGGCACAGTAATAAAGGATGATCTGCGTTCAATTTCGATTTAATGGGAAGTGCAGAGTCACTTTGATTTGGTTGCGAAATCCGATTCTAAAAAAAATGGTTTAAAAAACATTTTTGATTAAACCCTCAGGCTTTATTCTGTTAAATAAAGATGATTCTAATCTACTGTTTTAATTTCCAACCACCTTCACACAGGCTTTTCTTTGAAAAGAAACACGAAAAGAAACACATGGAGAATGATAATACCGAGATGTGTGCTCCTGAGAATTTTCTAAGTGCCTAGGGTAACCTCCTCCTTTCTTTTGCAATGGTGGACACCCCATGGAAAAGCTTTTCTAACAATAATAATAATAATAATAATAATAATAATAATAATAATAATAATAATAATAATAATGGAAACTTTATTCGTTATTAGTTTTTGAATGTACAATTGTAAATCTCGCTACCTACAGGCAATTTACAAATGCTGCGTGAGATAATAATATTAATAATAATAATAATAATAATAATTAATAATAATAATAATAATAAGTAGTGTTTACTAGAGGGCTTGACTGGCAAGTACCTTGTTTTTACTTTGCCATCAGGCCTGTGCTGAGAATAATTATAATAATTAGAGGTATCCTCCTTGGCAAAGAATCCTTAGGCCTATTTTCATCTGTTGGGAAAAAAAATGTATGAAAAGACCGGAATACTACCATTGCGAGCTATTGCTGCTGCTTTCGTCAAACTACTCAGGAAAACCACAGCTAAATTGAAGATTAGCAAAAGTCATTTGTTATGTTGTGGGAAATTGGGTGGGATGCAGTGTCTGTTATTGATAACCGATATCTTTTTCCGATCTGTAAGTGCAGTCTGTAAGTGCACCACTATTGAGCTTTGTCACGCGATTTAGCAAATTCAGTCACTGAGAAAAGGCCACTAAACTGAGTGAAATATAAAAAAAATAACCACTAAAGAAAGTAGGAGAGTGGGCAAAAATGAGAGACTAACAACAGATTGCAATTGCAACGGGGTGCCGTGAAAATGACTCAGGTACAGCCCAGCTGATTAAAAAGTTATAGATAACAAATATATATATATAAATAAAATATATCTCACTGAATTTATGTAAACATGGCTTCAGTGAGTGTCTACTGGTCCTCATCTAAGTATGTCTTTGGTACCAAGACTTTCACCCTCCCCACCCAGGACACTGGGTAACTCTCTGCGCCTCCCACTGAGCTGCGCAATTATCATGATAATTATTCTCAGCAGAGGCCTGATTCGGCTAGCTGGCGCAGAGTAAAAACAAGGTACTTGCCAGTCAAGCCCTCTAGTAATCACTTCTCCTTACTAAATGGGTTCTTTCCAAATAGCCCCCTCCCTCCCCCCCGATTTTTGCCCCCCCCCCCGGCCTGATCTACCCACCCACTGTTAGGTCCGGTCCGGTGCCTTGTAACGTAGCCTTTAATGCCCGATTAGAGGTCACTTCTCATGGAAAATGGTGCGAAAATGCCGTTCACTGTAACCTTCTTTAAAGAGCTTATAAAAGGTACAAATAGTTTATAGGGAAAGTACTCGACTCGTAAAAAAGCAAATGTTTACTGACCTGGTCCATAACCAGGAAAAGCTGTGAGAAGAGCGACACCCAACATAAAACACCAAACAAAGGCCAAGTGCACTTTACATTTCGTTAGAAAATATACCGAAATAAAGAAGTGAAATTGGACCACAACGCCTTGAAACGAATCAGAAGCTCGATAGACTAGGTTTGAGCTTCTCAGTTTACCAATGGCGATGGAATATTGTTTACGGAGCCATTCAGGCTGACGGAGATAAGCTGAAATTGAGCGCGCGCAACCTCGTCAAGCGAATGCCAGGCAACTGAAGCGGAATCGAACTGCCTAAAATTGTAGTTTGTAATTGCAATTGGTTACCCACGGAGCACTTAGCAGTTCTTAAGAACTTGTTGAAACGTGTCCGTGCGTTCCAGATGGAATTGAATTTGGAAGTGTTGGCTTTTAAGGAGAGGGAAGTACCTGGAGAAAAACTTCTCGGAGCAAATGAGACAAACAACAACAAACTCAACCCACATATGGTGTCGTATACGCCAGGGTTGGAACCCGGGCTACGTTGGTGGGAGGCGGGTGCCACTGCGCCACCCTTGCTCCCCATAAAAGCAGAAACATTAGGTTTTTACCTTCGAATGCATTTTCTTAATATCTGCGGACAAAGTAGTCTGCTACACAGCCGTTTTTAGTGTCGTCACGCAACGCTCCTCCCCACTAAAGGAGCGTTGCTTGACGACACTAAAAACGGCTGTGTAGCAGACTACGGACAAAGTATATGGTTACTCTCCCAGACTTAAAACACTTTATTCGTTTAATATTCTTACTTCGTATTTTACAAAGGATCGTCCCTAAACCTTTCAACGTGTTTTCTTTGCACTTCATCATTTATTAAGTCAAGTTCTTTGATGTTTAGATTTCCACTTTTTGTTAAAACAGTTTTGAAGTATAAAAAATTGAATGAATTTCTGATGCGTTTATGACTATTTACTTGATTGATTAAGTGTAAGATACACATTATTCCACCTAAAATCAGTTTCTATTTGCTTGACAGTAAGTTTTCACAGTTTATTTTGAAATAAGTTTTTAAACGCGTGATTTCACTGCATTTATTAATAAATTGTAGTTAAATTAAGACTTTCCATTAGGCATGAGATATTTGTTCATGTTCGTTCTCCCATAAACAGCAGCATAAACATATAGCAGTCACAAGAGCCCTTCTGTCAATCGTGAGGATAATCAATAATCCATTTTTGAATGCAGACTTCCCATGGCATGGCAATGATGTTACGGTATCAATCCATTATGTTTTTTTAGAGTAGCAACGATTTGTGCTCTGTGTTCTAATTTACAGCTTTGAAAGGGGCGCAGGAAACACTGCAGTTGTGGAAGGCAAGTCCAGAAATTCACCTGCAGAAAAAAAAAACAACATAAAACAAATCGAAATCAACACAAAACATGACAGCAAAGCAAAGTTAGGCTACGCCTTCTCATTATTTTTATTATTATTATTATTATTATTATTATTATTATTATTATTATTATTATTATTATTATTATTATTATTTATAAGAATGAAAACCCTACTTACGCTGGTTCGAAGAAACCTTGTAAGAAGAAGTGCTACAGTACTGTTTATTTTTAAAAAGCCGCGTTTATACGAGCAAGTTTTCCTTGTCAATGTCGCGATCATATAGATTAAGGCCTGGTTCTTTGCAGATTTAAAGGGATCCACGGTTATGCATTTTTAGGATATTCCATGCATGACTAACAGGTCTAATTACAATCCATAAACCACCCAATTTCACTTAAAATATTGTTTATATCTGGATCACGAGGCCAGCTACGCCCTACATGTATTTTATCAAAATCATGAAAATGATTCCCAAAAATGGTTTAGCACAAAGCCTCGTTTTGAAAGTGAGGGTTTTAGAGCTCGGAAATGGCCTCATGGGTCGATAAGTCAGCGTAACTCTGTTAATATGAAAGCTACTGGGTAATACGTTTGAATCTGTGCAGAAATCAAGGTAGCAGACTCGCAAGCATTATTATTCACCACAAATGAAGAAAAAAAGGGTAGTTTACCAATCTTCTGACATGTTTCCGCAACCTTCGCACTACTTGGCACTGAGATCAAAATGCCATTATCGGCACTGCAACATACCAAAATACAAGTGTTTAATTAATTAAACATTTGAACGAACATCAGTCGTTTGTGTGCCCGCTACAAGTTTGAGATCAAAATGCCATTATCGGCACTGCAACATACCAAAATACAAGTGTTTAATTAATTAAACGTTTGAACGAACATCAGTCGTTTGTGTGCCCGCTACAAGTTTACAAAGGCACCACCCAGATACAGTCAATTGTCTCACCGAATATTTGCTATATCGGACTAAACCTTTCCGAGTGAAGTAATAGACCATTTTCAATATACTAAAATTAATACAAGTTTGGCTCAGAGGCTTGGAAGAATAAAACAAAAGAAATGTATAATTCATTGCTGAGCCTCAAGATGATTTCTTTTGTTTTATTCCCCCAAGCCTCGCAGCCAAGCATGAAATTTAAAAAATCGGAATTGGTCTGTTGTGTGCTGTGTATGCTAATGAGAAAAAGTGTACACAAATATCGACTAAATTTGTCAGGAAGTAAGCAAGAATAGTTTGACAGAATTACTACTATCATCACCTTAATAATTGCTTTTCTTTTTTTACGAAAAAGAAGGCCAGTAAAATGTAGCAAATAAATTCTGCATACTATTACATTGCAGTTGGAGTGATAAGGCACCTATGTCTCGAAAGAGGATCCTGATTGTTGACTTATTTATTTGCCCAAGTGTACAGATTTTTTTTTTAAATAGAACCTATTTAAAATTGTAGGCTTAACAGGTTTTTGTAAAGAGAGGTCCTAACCAGGAAATTTTAGCCTAACAGGTTCTTAAAAAAACAGGTTTTTATTCGCAGGTTTTTGCTGTATTTCTTTTTGCCACGACGATTTAACACAAGAATAGCAGTACAATAGAGTCACCTTTTATTCGCCTTGATTACACCCAAATCAGCCAAGGCCATAAGGGAATTCTTCAGCAGGTCAAATGAGAGAACTTCGTAGAATTTTACGTCTCCTAAAGACAAATATACACACGTTGTCTGTATCAACACATACTGTCAATAGAGGGCCAAAAGATGTCAGGGCCTAAGGGCCTGTTTACATAAAGGTGGGGTACCCCAGGTTGAGGTAACCCGCGGCGGGTCACCCCACTTATCATGTAAACATGACCAAATTAAAATGAAGGATTATCTACATGTAGACAGGCGGGATAACTCACCTAAGCGGGTTACCTTACCTACCTGGAGTCTCCCACCTCCATGTAAACAGGCCCTAAGTTGCATAATTATGGTCAAGAGAGTTTTCCCGTTGGTCATCCCGAGGTGCGGGTATTGAAACGTTCTTTTTCCTACCTGTGAGTACGAGCTCGACTGCTTTGTCCTGAACCTGCTTTATAATCTCAGTCAGCGGTCTCTCGTGGTTCCCATCCGGACAATTGACAAAAAAGTGACAAGTGATCTAAAGTAAGAAATTTAGAGAGCGCCGTAAAACCACTGTAACGTAATGCAGGGAGTATTTCAATGAAAATACAAACGCCGGGATATAAATTTTACGGCATATCATAAGCAAAAAAGGGCCCATCCGCAACAGGCAACAGGTAACAGTCGTTTCGAATTTCCCTCAAATTTAGCACGGCTTTTCTCTTTAGAGATGCTGTTGCTTTTTGATGGGGCTCCACAAGTTTTCATCAAACGTCAAAAGAAAATAAAAGAAAGAAAGAAAAAGAACCATCCGACGATCAATTTTACGTTGTCGCTGGAACAGCTTTCTCGGAAAAATTTACAATGAAAGTACAGTACAGTTGAACTTCCATGTGCGACCACCTCCCGTAGACGACCAGCGATCAAACACACCAAAAATTTCCCATTAAAAGCCCTACGATTAAATCTCTCGTAAACGAACACCTCTCATTAAGCGACCGCGACCACTTTTTGGCCTGCCGGTTTTTTTAGATTTCTAGTGTTTTTAAACCTCTTGTAAGCGACCACTTCACGCATGGCGTGGTCTCTGTCTCTGTCCACTGTAACACTACGCCACTCAGGATAAAAAAAGAATGATCAGTGACAACATGGAACTACACATATACGTAAGGCATATGCTTTTTCTAGTAAATAAAATGGACTTTGAGACAATTTTTTATAACTTGTTTTCAATCTAATATAGAAGGGACCTAACAAAAAAAATTATTATCTGAAGAAAAAAGTCGAACTGGTCTTACCCAGTAGGCCGTTAGGATAGGTTTCCACATGTTTGCACTAAAGCTGACATCTTTTTCCTGGAGTAACACTACCCTTCCGTTTTTAACGTTGACGGAACCATGCTGTTCGAGTAACTGAGTTGTCTCTCGAAAGTATTCAAAAGTCTGCAAGAAACAAAAATTATTATTTAAACAATACGTCCTTCTCGTGTAGACGAAGTATACTTTCTTCCGGGGCTAACAATACTGGCATTCCGCAATTAAGGTCTCCGGAAAAACTGCCCACCCACCCCTCCCCTAAGCCGATATTTTGCCCTAAGCGAGAATTAAGTCTTGATGTTGGCTTAGGGGAGGGGTAGGTGGGCAGTTCCCAGAGACCTAAAATGATCCGATCTTTGCTGTTGCGGTTACACTGTGGACCGAAAAAATGTCGAGCAAGGAAAAACATAAAATGAAAAAAATAATAAAAAAACGAGTAAAACTAGACTGCAAAACAGTCGGTTTTTTTCTCAAAATCAGTAAAGAAATCGGTAAAGTGTGGCGTAAGAGTCTTACTGACGCGAAGCGCGCGAGCCTCACAGATTAGATTTTTGTTTGACTGCTCGCGCGTACTTGAATATGCAAAAATACGGACTGTTTTGCAGTCTAGAGTAAAATAGAAACACAGGACGTAGGAACTGGAGGAGAATAAGGGAAAGGTAGAAAATGGCGAAGTTGCCAAAGTAACTCCGATTTGGCTTTTTTATAGAACGTTTTCAAAACAACAAGCGGAGTTTTCCTCGATTTTACCACAATCGAAAGTCGACACTGCTGCCGGAAGAACAAGCTACTGAGACCAAGAAAGATGATTACCTCAGCAGAATGATAGAAAAAGGACGAGCGAACGAACGAACGAACGAACGAAAGAAAGAATGAATAAATAAATTTATTATAAACTGCAGTGTTTTACAAGGATTTCTACCACCGAGAAATGTGGTATCTGAACACACGTAAAAATACGATATTTTTACATGTGAAGATATCGATAATTTCACTGACATCAGGTTTGTCTCTTAAATTATGAAAAATCTTCGGAAATCTTCGGAAGGTGGTCGGAAATCTTCGGAAAATCATCAAAAACGCCGTCATCAGTATGTTTATATAATAAAAAGAATATTACACGTTAGCTCGAAGATATGAATTTTATGTTCTTGTGGCAAGAGCAATATCTCACTCGTTCGCTGCGCTCACTCGTGAGATATTGTTCTTGCCACTCGAACATAAAATTCATTTCTTCTCGCCACCGTGTAATATTCTCTGTATATAAATAAATAAATAAATAAATGAAATACACACATAAATACATAAATTCGTAAAACGATGCACTAAAACTGAAGTCTTGAACCAGTTTATTATAAATAAATATATACATATAAAGATAGACCACATGAGGCACCCTACACAAAGAGAGGTGACACGAATGTGAAAGCATAGAATTACCTCATTGGTTCTTTCAGTAACTTGAGGGACTTCTTTTACCAAAAGTTTTGCCAGAAACTGAAAGTCGGCAAATAGTTGAACTAAAATAAAACCAAAAAAATTACAGTTATTCCAGTGGGGGCAGATAAGTCAGTATGGCTTTCTGATGCATTTTAATACTCTACACGCGATAAAAGCACTGGTCTCCAAAAAAGGAAAGGACAAGATCGTTTCAAGATGAAATATTATGGTGATATCTGCTGTTTGCCGTACTGAAACGCGATTCTTAACAGAAAGGAAAAGTGTGATGTCACATTACCATGGTAGCCAAATTTCTGCATCTCAACGATCTGTCTTACTAGAGACGGCCATTTGCATTGTCAAACGATGGAAAAAAGTATGGCCTGGCGTTTTGTTCCTGAGTACAGTCATGCGCAAAAAGTCATACTAGTCAATTTTTTTGCCATATTTGCAGAACCATGGTTATTTGAGATCCAGTCATTTTGCTACCATGGCAACAAGACGTGACGACTTCTCCTCACTATCTTCTTTAAAACAAATTCTTAAACGCGCCTTACTCACCCAAGTGTTTTTCCGAGGCGGACTGCCTTTGCGCAGCCAAGGAAAACATTCCAGTTCTGAAGAAATGAAACAGCAGCACATTTCTCTTGCATGCCAACAGCATGTGTAAAGCAGCTTCATCTTTGATGTTTCTGGCAGGGCTGTTGGTTGCAGCTGTTCCAGGAACTGTTCTTTCTTTATCTCCTGTGGTCTGGCATTCTTTGATTCTTACAAAACCACTTTCAGTTTTTTCCAAGGATGATTTTAAGAAATCAATACTTTCATCCACCAGAACTACGTTATTGGAGTCACCTTGCATCGAAAAGAAAAACAAAAAAAACTACACTGAGATTCACATAACAGAATTACAAAGAAAGTGTTTACAACCACTGCTTAAAAAAAAAAAATGATATTTGGCGATTTTCAGTAATCCGCAAAAGAATTTCCTGTTCAGTGGTAGTTGATCCTTTACCACTATGCCCACTATGCCTGAGGCTTTCCTCATCAACTTCTTGTTCGTTTCAGGCAAAGTCCAGTTAAAGGCTACAATCCTCGTCACATTAAGTTGGGACAGCCCATGCTGTACCCATATTCCGACAAAAAGTTGTGCTCCTGCCCTCCAAGTGTTGATTTTTTTGCTTCTGACATGCCAACTCGCAAAAACCAACATTGAAGGGGGAGGAAAAGCTGTCCCAACTAATGTGACGGGTATTGTAGCCTGCACCACAGACGAAACAATAAAACCTCTGGTCAAGTCCGTCTGTGAGCCAGTGCCAAAAACCTTGTTCTAGGGGCCCACCAAGATTTGGGTATGCACCATGACTGTCCAGTTAAAAAAGCTACAATGTATTATCAAATTGCCAACCAGGTTGAGAGGAAATTTGAAGCGCACTTCCGGTAATTCGTTGAGTCTGTAGGAGGCCCAGAACTAGGATCTTGGTGCTACCTTGCAGACATTACTAGCCAGGGCTAGATTACATCTGTGAAGCAGGCTTGTTTAAGGCTTAGCATCATGATTCCATGCTTCCTCCAGTAAGACGAGCCCGCCATCAAGTGTACAACCGAATGTTCTCCAAATAGTATTAAAGGGGAAAGGGGCACTGTTCTTCTCTTTTTGAGATCGACCTAAGCTAGGTTCTCTATAATTATTATGATCGATATAGTCAATGCAGTGCATTGTCAAACCTGCAGATTTTATAGGAATATCCCACATGCGACACAGTTCCTTCATCCAGGTGAATTCTTCCACCAATTTATCTATAAGAACAAATGATACCATAGTTCAAATGGACAAAATAAGAGACAAAAAAGGCTAAACAATGCAACAAAGTTTGAATCAACTTTCTCTGGCTGTGTCTTATCCTGTGTTAAGACTAACCAAACCATATAAGACTGTATAAAATGATAGTAATAATTATACATGTAGTGAGGTAAGATAATTAATCAGGTAATAATGAAAATGGTATGGTCGGGCCTGAGAAGTTTTTAGCTTTTACCTAGAAAAAATGAAAGTGAGATAAATTCACATGGCCAAAAGAGCAAGTGCAACACTTTCTTCTCAAAAACACTGTATTCATCGTGATGTAGCCAAAGTTAAAAAAATGTCACTGGTTGTGAAACTGACTGATTCCCTGTCTGACAGACAAACTGTCTAACAGACTCACCAACTAACTGGGTGACTGACTAATTGACACTGTTTGTTATTGCAATAGTGGATCTTATCTATCATGAATTAAGAAAATTAAAAGAAGAAAATGTACCATAAGGAATTCCATTCAAGTTCTGAAGCATAACAGTAGCCACTAAGACGCTGGAAGGGCAAATCATTCCTAATTGAAGGTCTGAGAGAATTTTATACCCCAGAGATTTGACAACCTTCTTTTCTTCATCAGATAGAAAGTGGAAGAGGTGCCTGGAAGAAGCAAAAAGGAACAAAAAGAACAACAATTAAAAATATTTGAAGAAGAAGATAAGATAATTATTATTCATCACCGTCATTTGTGACAGTCACAAATACACATTCTACTAGAAATGGGTGGGTGGCATCGATCAATTCTAAATTAAATAGTGTAAGTCTTGCTTACTTTTTACCATTTTTCTTTGATCTATGTAAACTTTGTCACTGCACTCAATTTTTCTCCTTCATTATTGAATGTCAACCTGAATCAAGGGCAATTAAAGGGAAACAAATCTGGAAAACTTCATTATTTTATTTTTCAGCAACTTCTAAAAATCTTTTTTTCATTATCATGGCTTTCTTTTTAACATTTTTACCTTGGTATGCAAGCATTGTCTACTCTGTTAAGCTTTCCTTGGATATATCTACTCATTGGTAGAAGTTCTCCAATGTGGATGTGAATACTTCCATAATCTTCTGACAGGACTGATCTGCTTTTAATCAAACCCTTGAAAAAAAGTTAAAGAAGCTCATTACTTATAACTAAAAAGAAAATTATCTTATTTGCTTTACTAGCATATTTCAGATTAGAATAACTGTACCTTCAGTTGTTCTCTCGGTCAATTTGCTGGGTCAATTTAGCCCTTCAAGGCCCAATATCCACATATAAATTCTCCTGACCAATCTCCATGCGTACTTTAAGAATTAGTTGAGAGAATTTGTTGGAGGATCATTTTATTACTTCACATTACCCATCGTCATGTATTACTGTTATGAGAAAATTGGCCCTTGGGACACACAACACTCAACCCCAGAGGGAGAGGTACTTCTGTGAATTCTTCATAAGCTGTGCCACTCAGTTCTCCTGGCCCTATTTCAGACCAAAAAATGTCATTTTTCACATCCATTTTCAGACCTGGCCTCTAAATCATAAACCCGTTTTCAGACCTAAAATTATGTCATCATTACTCAGCTTAGAACACTATAAACAAAAAGATTTCTTTAAATCCTGTTTGAGTCCACTTAATACTCTTTTGTTCTTATTCATTTGGAAATGAAATGAGAAATATGTTCATACACTTGCATAGTTTCTTCAAGAACCACACCCAATTCCAGACCAAAAAGGGGAAAGTCTATACCTGTTTTAAGATCTATAAAAAGCAAATAAAAAAAACATATCCTTCGGGGCGGCACATACACGTACCTGCGGTGTACATAGCTAATTGTGTAAGGATTGCTCGATATTTTTTCCACACTTTTATTGACCTCGTCATAATTACTTTTATTGTCTGAGCTGACATATTTGACCAGAATAACTAAACTAACTTGGCTTTGCAATGATCCACGAAGATGCAAAAAAAAAACAAGAAAATGCCCAATGCCAAGCCTTAGTCATGGAAGGTGCCCAGCTTAAAAACAGTGGAAAAATGAATGCAAGAAAGCAGGGACTTACCAGGGTGCAAAGAAAGTCAGTTTTACAGCCTGCCATTCGGGCAAGCTGTAGCTAGCATGTACTAGCCCACAAGTCATTTAAACTAGCCCCAAAACCATTTTTGATTAGTAGGATTGATTACACATCCAATCCTACTAATTTGAATTTCCTCAAAAAACAGCACTTGCCTGTTGGGCAAGTTAAGAGCAAAAATCACTAGCCCAATAGCAAAATCCACTAGCCCCGGGCTATTGGACATGACTTTCTTTGCACACTGCTTACTCATAGTTGGCAATATTTTAAGGAGTGGTTATTTTAAGCAAGATGCGTCCATTACGAGAGAATTTACAGTACACTGTATAGTCATCAGTCAATTCTTACTCTCAAAGATTCCTTTGGTTTGGGTATTCCCAACAGCTCATATGCATAGAGTGATTCTTCTGGAACCCTGTCATAACTGATGCTTATTGGACAAATGAGAACATCTGGTACTCGCACAGTTGTGTACAAGTCAACAACCATGGAAAGAACCCCTACAATATAATATGCAAAATATGCAGGTCACAATGCACTAACAGTTCACTAGGAGTTCAATTTACAGACTTTTTGGTGGTCCACACCCCAGTTTCCAGTTAAGTTGGCATCTGCAGCACTTGTTTGCAAAATGCAACAATCTACAGATTGTAATGGGTGTGACCATGATTGATAAATAAAATCTCTTTTGAATAATGTTTGCATGATTGGTAGCATTTTCAAAAATTTATAGTGATCTTTCAACATTTTCCTTTTCACTAATTTTGATTTTCACTATTCCTATACAAAAATGGGTAGCAAAATTAGCAGGACATTAACACCTACCAAGCCTGGGCTGGAGAAATTTCCCTGTTCTACTTCGTGTACCCTCCAAAAAGAATTCAAGAGGCTGATCACCAAACTGAAGCTGATTCTGAATGTACTCAGTAAACACAACCCAGTATAAGGGATCCGACATGAAAGAACGCCGCATGAAAAAAGCCCCACTGTTTCTGAAAAGGGTGCGAACGACCCTCATGTTCATGAAATCTGCAGCAGCTGCAATAAATGGCAGTGGAATATCTGCGGAAAAGCAGATGAAAGAGACAAGAAGAAAGTCCAAGTAGCTTCTGTGAGATGGAATAAACACAACTGGGTTCTTCTTGGCAGCATCTCGTAACTGAAAATAATATAAATTTATTTTAATATGATAGGCTAACACAATTTAACAATTTATTTATTCATTTATTTACTTATTTACTCAATTCAATTACACACATATTCAAAATAATATAATTGTAATATTGTATTTGGCCTTCTTCAATTTTAATAATTGTTATTAAAATTGAAGAAAGCCAAATATAGAAAAATAATATCTGCATAATTAGGATAGTTTATACAGAACATGAGTATTCCATTTGACACAACATTATTAACATTTTTTGTTACATCTTCCCTTTACGAGGTTTGGGCATTAAGAACTCCTCTACCTTAGCATTTTACATGTAAATGGGGAGCTTAATCAAAGACATTTTTAAGCCTCATGTGTCAGAAGGAAGCGTGGGCTTCTCCCTTTTTAATATACCTTAAGGCTACCAAATTTGACAAGATAAGTTTCTTCACACTCTTATTGAGACAATCTGTGCCAAAAATTGGGTGCAAAAGCAAAGCCTAAAAATGCAAAAAGTCCACTGTCAGGTGACATCTTTGCTTACAGGAGTAAGCTCTTTTTACGATCTTCCAAACAAGGGAAAAAGGGGGGATGAGGGAGTTGGTGGGTCCAGGGGGTATGGACATTTTGTGGATCAACAATTTGTTCGCAGTGGCAGATCCAGGGGGAGGGTCGGGACACCCTCCCCCTATCAGACCTGATGCTTGTTTGAGACTGACATTCTTACATCGACAGGATTGTATATCACTTTTTAACTGGCTGATTTTTAGTTTAATGAAACATGCATTGCATTTTGCCAGTAAACTAAATTCCAGGGATATTCAAAAATGTAATTTATTGATTTTGGGTACCCTCCTATGATGTTGGCAAAATCTGTACAATCTTTGTTATTTGGGATGGGGTGTGGGGGGTGTGGGGGAGAAGTAATTTGCAACAGAAAAGTTTGTCCAGTCCTTTCTGAACCAAAGTTTGGATCCTCCCTCCCCCCCTCCTCTACACCCAATAAAAAATTCCTGGATCCCTCCTGGTTTGATTACAATGAGAATTAACTTACCCTCTCCAGGCCTTCTCTGTTGATTAGCACTCTACGGAAGAGAGTGCACAGAATTTTGCGCAGCATGAATGCCATAACCCTGATGCTACTAAGATTAAAGTTATGTCCCATTTCTTCTAAAATGGATTTCACTTCATTGGTGATAGCTTCAACAGTGTCACTTCTTTCTTCAGCAGTCTGGAATAGAATTTTTAAAAAAGTGGAGGAATTAATAAGACAGTCACCTCTTGGGCAACTTTGTCAGCATATGCAATTGCCAGGCAGGATTAGTTAACACTAAGCTATAGACTATAGTCTTGTTGTGAAGTTGCAGTCTAGGCTACTGAGGGTGTTTGATTAGTAACTTAAACATTGTTTTTTTTATAAAGGATCAAACCTCCAGGGATAGACCTGCTATTGTTAGTACTTTGGCAACGCCTTCTCTCTCTACTGCATGTCTCACTTCACTGCAGTGTATAAATGAGTGCTGATTGCAAACTGGTGGGTATAACCCTGCGATAGACTAGCTTTCTATCCAGTGGGGAGTGGTAATACCCCTATGTTCTTCTGTTATGGAGACGAAACCAATTGTGGAATTGCACCCATTTTAGGCATCCTACTGATTAACGGTTGGGACATGTAGATATATTTTTTAGCAACTACTATAATTTGCAGTCTGTCTACTTTGAATTGAAAATAGGCAGATCCTGAATTAGGCTAAATTGTTCAAGTTTGTTTGTCATATGGCATCCTTATCTCTTCAATCTAAACCCATCTCTAAAAACTATACATAATACTTTATTTCATAATTTGTTTTACCCAGTGTTCTCCTTATCAGGCATTTACCGGTAAAATGTACCATCTGAAACAACACTTCTTACTGTCTGCAATCTCTTGAAGGTTTACTAAAATTAAATAAGTTGTTGTAAAAAATACAGAGGTTGTTATCCGATCTGATCAAGGCAATGAATGAATATATGGAAGTGCAATAAAGTATTCCCAGCTTTTCTCTTTATGGGCCACACATTTTGGAAAGAGAGCATTGAAGATAGAGTAAAATAAATTATTGGAATCAAACGTTTTAGATAGCTGTCTAAAGATAACGGCTGATTTGCGTAAAATAAGTCGTAAAATGAGGGAATGACATTTCCGAGAACTTAGCTCCTAAATTTCACAGCGAGGTCGAAGTCATGTCCCTCACTCCACTGCCCACCTCCCCCCAGGAAAGTGCACCTCTGGCACATATTTTTTGCCTTAATGGCCATGAATGGTCCCTTACCTGCTGAGCTAAAATTTGGGGAGAACACTGTTTACCTCTTTGGTGTTTTCTACTGTAGACTAAAACTTTGAAACTTCCTTCAATTGCTTACTTATTTGTTAAAATACAAAGATCTGGCGTCTTGTTTAAACCCGTTAAAAAACTCTCCGGGGTTTCACCGGGTTAAATTCTCCACCCCACCCCTGCGACTTCCCTCCCTCTCCAGGGTTCCACAATCTTTCCTCTCCTTTTCTCCACTCATTGTAGATAACTGTGAGCTATACGTCCAGAATGCAGTATTTAATCAAAATTTTTAATCAAAACCCATAACCGAGACTAAGTTTCACGACTACGTATACAGAAAAATAATCCGTTTTCTGGCCTTTCCCAAGTAAAACAGCTGTGTAATATATACTTCTTCATTTCCTGTGTCACAGAATCTGCAAGGTTTCTTATGGCGCGAAATTGGTACAGAAATCATAATTACCTTTTGTATAGCATGTTGAACACGTCTGGAGTTCAGAACGTCGCTTTTTATTTCATGAGGCGTTCGCTTAACAGCAAATTTGTATCCATCTGGAGCATAGCGCTTCAAACTCCACAGTACATCACTCCAGCCTCCCTCTTGCAACAGATCAAGATCAAAGGGCTCCATTTTTGACAGAAAAGCTTAATATGATTAAGCTAGGTGCTTTTAAATCATGGTATTTTACATTTGTGGATGCTAAGGACGAGTTTAGACGCAGAAAACGAAGAAAATGTTTCGGGTCGCATTGCGCAAAATTCTACCAAAGGTAGCATCACGCAGTGCACATGTGCCGTGACTTTAATGGGGTGATCACGGGAAGGACACCAAAATATTGGATTGGCTTTATGAATTGTGGATTTCGGATATCGGAGTTGATACGGTAACGACAGAAATTGTCAACTCTTTGTAGAAAAAAATACGCAATTAAAAGAAAGGAAGGAAGAAAATGAAAGCTGACGCGGAAAATAACTACCTAATCAAATAAATAAACTAAAACGTTTTCAGTACAGCAGACGGGAGTCCATCACCATGACTGAGCGTTCGTTCCGAAACCGAAATATTTGGAGAGGAAACGGAAAGAAGAGAACAGGAACACTTTTGCTCCGCCGCTTAATTTCTAATTTCTTTTTTATTTTGGGGGGCGGGGTAGAGGGGAAGTTAAGCATAAATAAAAATAGAGAGATCCAGGGAGGGATCTATTCAACCAAAATTTCCGTAAATTTCGGTCCAAAACTCAATGGATCGGTTCGGTCCAACCGGAAAAGTTTCGAAAACACTGGTCAAAAAAAATTTGAGGTGGACCTCTTTTCCCGGTCGGACCGGTCTGAATTTTTGTTGAATGGATCGCGCCCCCAGAGTCCACCATCCTTCAACACTGGTCCTCCCCCGGCCAGATCCTCCCATCCCTTTGCAACACAGGTACCAATGGGTCAGCAGTTGTTCTTTGGAATAAACAACATGGCGGACTTGATCTCCCCACTAGTAAGCTTCACTACGATCACTCCTTTTAGAGGAATCATTTCTTGTTTGGTACTTTCGGTGGCATATGTTGCCAGCTTATATGTTTTAAAGTCTCCTTATCCCAGGTTAGTAAGCTATAAGATATTTTTTCTTTTTCAGTTTCGGAGTAATCTGATCAAAGAAAGTTTTTGTTAGACGGTTCACGTTTATAACCAATCAAATAAAGCTTAATAAAACTTTTCTGGCAAATGAAAGTTCATTTCAATTTACTCAACTTGACTTTAACCTTTTTTCGGACAGAACGAAAAGAACGCATTGCCGTCATTCTACATTACATATTCTACGTTTTCCCTGTACGTCGGTAACATTAAAATGGCTTTTTAAAATTTTTGATGAATCTATTTAAAAAAAACAAGAACAAAAACAATATACATGTATACAGGGTTTGCAATATAAGTATGAGTAACTGAGACTGTACACTAGACTAGGCTAAATTTAAGAATACCCGGCCACCTCTTTGCATATGATTGAATAACAAAAGTGCCTATTGTGATATACCTAGCAAGTGAATGAATAACTTAACCTTGTTGTTTTGTTCCTTTATCAGAGATCATCCCAAGACTATAAGACAGCGGTTTAGAAGCGTTTTTGTTGTCTCTCTGATGTCTCCGTTGTATGTTTGGCTTTGGGCAGATGGAACGAGTGATAAGACTGTAAGACTACAGATTGTTTATACAGTTAAACCCCTCTTTACAGACACCCGCTTACTGCGCTTTTCACAAACATGCAAACTCTAAAGTTCAAAAGCCGCCTTCACAATTGCGTTTTTCGCTGCCGTCAATCATAATTACGATCGCAAACAACGAACCTGGAAACACAGAAACACACAAAACAGATCGAAATCCACCAATCACAAATAACAAACCTTGACCTTTTGAACCCATTAAAGTAAAGTTTTGTTTCCTAGGAAGTCCATTAAGATGATTGACGGCAATCGTCAGTTGGCTTTTGAACTTCAGAATTCGCATGTTTGTTAAAAGCACAGTAATATGGACATCTCATTATTATGGACAGTTTGCTTTCTCCCTACGGAAAAAAAAGCCCTAACATTTTCTCTGAACTCAACTGGCTTAATGTGGACACTTTCTATGGCCCTCCTATCATCTTTATTGATGGAGTCTGACTGTATTGTAAATGCCACATAAGTTTCTGTGCTCTCTGTAATCACACTCTTGAGGTAGATAATGTAACAAGGGGTAACATGGGGTAACAAGGGGTAACAAGGGGTAACAAGGGTAACAAGGGGTAACAAGGGGGAACACGGGGTAAAAAGGGACCGTGACATGGGGTAACAAAGAGTAACATGGGGTAACAAGGGGTAACATGAGGTAACAAGGGTAACAATGGGGTAACAAGGGTAAAAAGGGGTAACAAGGGGGAACAAGGGTAAAAGGGGTAACAAAAGTAACAAGGGGTAAAAAGCAGTAACAAGGGAGAACAAGGGGGGACAAGGGTAACAAGGGGTAACAAAGGTGATAAGGGTAACAAGGGGTAACAAGGGTAACAAGGGGTACCAAGGGGTAACATGGGTAACATGGGGTAACAAGGGGGAAACAAGGGGTAGCACGGGGTAACAAGAGGTAACAAGGGGTAACAAGGGTAACAAGGGGTAACAAGGGTAACAAAGGGTAACAAGGGGTAACAAGGGTAACAAGGGGTAACAAGGTGTAACAAAGGGTAACAAGGGGTAACATGGGGTAACATGGGGTAACAAGGGGTAACATGGGGTAACAAGGGTAACAAGGGGTAACAAGAGAGAACAAGGGGGAACAAGGCTAACAAGGGGTAACAAGGGGTAACATGGGGTAACGAGGGGTAACAAGCAGTACCAAGGGTAACAAAGGGTAACAAGGGGGAACAAGGGGTAACATGGGAGAACATAGGATAACAAGGGTAACACGGGGAAACAAGGGGTAAAAAGGGAGAACAAGGTGGAACAAGGGTAACAAAGGGTAACAAGGGGTAACAAGGGGTAACATGGGGTAACATGGGGTAACAAGGGTAACAATGGGTAACAAGAGGTAACATGGGGTAACATGGGGTAACACGGGGTAAGAAGTGGTACCAAGGATAACAAAGGGTAACATTGGGTAACAAGGGTTAACAAGGGTCACAAGAGGTAACATGGGGTAACATGGGGTAACAAGGGGTAAAAAGGGGTAACATGGGGTAACAAGGTTAACAAGGGGTAACAAGTGTAGCAAAGGGTAACAAGTGGTAAGAAGGCAGAACAAGGGGAAACAAGGGTAACAAGGGTTAACAAAGGGTAACAAGGGTAACAAGGGGTAACAAGGGTAACAAAGGGTAACAAGGGGTAACAAGGGGTAACAAGGGTAACAAGGGGTAACAAGGGTAACAAAGGGTAACAAGGAACTATATACGACAGAGACTCTTAGACATAGAACAGCAAATATGGATTAGCAAAATACACAATGATGAACGAAAGGACCCGCATCAAAAAACAAACTGAAAACTTTTAGGAAATTTAAACTTACCCATGACTACGATAATTACCTCACAAATGTAAGAATCATCAATCATAGAGTAGCAATCACAAAGCTAAGATTAAGCAACCACAAACTAGCAATTGAAACTGGACGATATGTTAAACCCTATCAACCACCAGACCAAAGAATCTGTCCATTATGTAAAACTGGATTAGAAGATGAGGAGCATTTTTTGATGAATTGCATAGCCTATAGGGATCCTAGGAGAGAGTTGTTCAATACGCTAAAAAAGGAAACTAATCTTATTCTTGACTCTATGACTCCAAGCTCTGCCTTTACAACGTTGATAAGAAATTGTGGCTAAATACGTATATGATCGCTTCCGCGAAAGAGATAGACGCGTTAAATATAACCTTGTTTAATAGTTGTATAAATTTTACGAATGTACACCTCTGTAATTATTGCACTAAAATCTTTGTTATCATTGTAAACACATGTGTCTGTAGGCGCTCTGTTGATAATAAAGCACTTATCCTTATCCAAGGGGTAACATGGGCTAACAAGGGTAACAAGGGGTAAAGAGGGGTAACATGGGGTAACAAGGGTAACAAGGGGTAACAAGTGGTACCAAGGGTAACAAGGGGTAACAAAGGTAACAAGAGGTACCATGGGGTAACAAAGGTAACAAGGGTAACAAGGGGGAACAAGGGGTAACAAAGGTAACAAGGGGTAACATGGGGTAACAAGGGTAACAAGGGGTAACATGGGGTAACAAGGGTATTAAACAAGGGGTAACAAGAGAGAACAAGGCTAACAAGGGGTAACAAGAGGTAACATGGGTTAACATTTTGATGAATTGCATAGCCTATAGGGATCCTAGGAGAGAGCTGTTCAATACGCTAAAAAAGGAAACTAATCTTATTCTTGACTCTATGACTCTAAGCTCTGCCTTTACAATGTTGATAAGTATGAAGCAAGGAGAGAAAACGCAAAAAATTGTGGCTAAATACATATATGATCGCTTCTGCAAAAGAGATAGACGCGTTAAATATAACCTTGTTTAATAGTTGTATAAATTTTACAAATGTACACCTCTGTAATTATTGCACGGAAATCTTTGTTATCGTTGTAAACACGCGTGTCTGTAGGCGCTCTGTTGATAATACAGCACTTATGCTATCCTATCCTATCCTGGGGTAACATGGGGTAACAAGGGGTAACAAGCAGTACCAAGGGTAACAAAGGGTAACAAGGGGTAACACGGGGTAACAAGGGGTAACATGGGGTAACATTGGTTACAAGGGATAACATGGCGTAACAAGGGGTAACAATGGGTAACAAGGGGTAACACGGGGTAACAAGGGGTAACAAGGGGTAACATGGGGCAACAAGGGAGAACAAGGGGGATCAAGGAGAACAAGGGGTAACAATGGGTTACATGGGGTAACAAGGGTAACAAGTTAACATCAGTGCTAATGTACAGTAAAAGTTGAACCTCACTTAAACTTTACATTTACCCGCAACCTTCCATCATTCCCTTTATTTTTATTTGCATGTCATTTAACTTTTTAGCATGTACACATGTAAAAATAATTCAACATTGGAAATCCATCTTTTGTTTATAATCCTCTATTATCTCCTTACAGACCTTAAGGGCGGCAAGAGTATAAAACCTTGGGGTATTTATTGACCAAAGGGTAGATTCTTGTTCACAATGACCAATTATTTGAGCTGAGTTTAGTGTTGGTTTTGGGCCCAGGTTCTTCTCTTAGTCAGATCATTCAAGTATATGAGACAGGTTGGCAGTCAAAACTGACCGTGAATTATTTGTTATTACCTGAAATCTATGACAAAATAAAAATCAATGAATCATTTTTCCTTGCCTACCCTTAGAGATCAAATATGTTAGAAGCACTTTAAGTTGACGGTTTATTTAACAGAATTTGCTACTTGTGTGTGTAGAACTCTATTTTTGGTTTTCAAGTGATGTCACAAAAATCCAAACACCAAAATTGCAACAACTTTCAAGGTTTTGTTTCCATCTAGCAAAAGATATCTTAAAAGTAAACTTCTATGCAAGTTTTTCACGTGATAGCATTTTCTGTTTTGAAAATATAGCTTTTTCTAATTTCCCAAGTTTACTCCATGTGTCATGACATCAATATGGCGACCGAGAAGGCTGTCACATATGCTAAAAAATGATTTTATCACATGATATTATCCCCTTTGAATGGTGGAAGTATGCAGGTGTATGTGCTGAAAAAATTGCCTGGGTCCTCAGGCGTATTGAAACACCTCATTAGTAAATACGAATTGTTTTGTCAAGCAAATGCGTGTGTATACCTATTATTTAAAGTGGAAATTGGTGAAAGATCTTTATTATTTCACAGGCAATAGGAAAACAATAGATACCTAGCAGGAGTAGTATCACAGTCAAGTCATTAAGCAGTCTTGATCAAAGCAAAAGTGATCTTGTTTGGTTATGAGTTGTAAGCTCTAATAATCATTAATAATAGAGAGAAGAAAAAGAGGAAACCGTGTTGTTTTTTTTTTTTAATGCAAGTGTGTGTTTAACTTTTCACCCAGTCAAAACAGTGGATAAATATAACACTTCCCAGTTTCTAAACAGAAATTCTCAACCACAAATACTATAAATTTTCATGACTGGTTGAGAGCTTCAGTTTCCACTTTTACCAATGTTAGACCATTGTAGCCGTTTTGCAACGTTTCGCAGAGCAAAACATCCCAAGTGGCAAGGAGCAAAGAGAGACAGCTGTGTTTGCAGGCTATAAGACCATTGCTTCCTTCTACTAACTAAAAATTGACCATTATTCACTACATAGCTCTGGCGAAATTGTAAGGCAGAGCTCCATTCCGTGAATGCCTGAGACTTGTAATCAAGGAAAATAATATAAATAAATAAATAATATATATTTTTGTTTACTCTCTAGGCACTATCCCTTTGGAAATATCTAGGAATACATTTGCAAAGTATATTCATTGCAATTTTGTTCCCTTTACTATTGACTATGGTAAGACAATGTTACGTTATTATTCTTTAATCATGTATCTGCTGTGAATTTGTTAAGGTAAAAAGGTAAAGGCGCACACGAGCCAAAGGCCCAAACGGCCGGAGCTTATCCCGGCTTCATTAGCATAAAGCACCTAGGAGTACTGCTACTCCCCCCTGGACCAGATACTAGTCCATCGCAGGGTTACCCCCCAGCAGTATGTCGCCGGTAGCCATTTATACACCTGGGTGAGGAGAGACAAAGGGAAGTAAAGTTCCTTGTCGAAGGAAACAACGCGACGGGCGTGGCTTGAACCCGAGACCTCCAGATCCGGAGTTCGAGGTGTTAACCACTCGGTCACTCATGCCTCCACTGAATTTGTTAAGGAAGTTACCAATTATTATTGTTGTTGTTATTATTATTGTTATTATTATCAATATCATTATCATTATTATTATTATTATTATTATTATTATAATTTTGATTTTCCCAAAAAAATTGTAAACATTACGTTCAGTGATGAATTAAGTGGTATATATAATTTATATCTTCTAGATTTTGTTCTTTGGTCCTACCATGTTACTGTATTTTAGTAGAGAATTTGTCAGTGTAAAAGGTAAGGTTCAGCTTTAAATTTGCTGGCAGATTATTACTACTGTAAGCAACTGTTTAGTGAGGTCATTAGACAATAAGATTGTGGAATTTGCAATGAACTCCAGTAGCGTTAAGGAGTGTGAAAATTGAATTACAACATTATTTGATTGACTGTTAACAAACATTTTTTCTACCTTTTTTTTGTTGTTTGCGGCAGGTTTTCTTGAATACCCATCAAGCTGGGTTAATTCAATTAATTTACGGAATTACCTTGTGGTAAGACATTCCATGTTCAGGCTACACTGTGTGATTTGTTGCTTATTTTTATCAGTCTCCACCTGGTACACGTACAATAATAGCTGACTCATCTCCATAGTGCCTGCGACACAGAAGAGTGTCAGTTCTGTAAGAGCAATTGTCCCGATATAATGCTTATGTGGTGCACATTGTGCCCATCAATGATAACCTCGCTGCCCTCAAATAAGCACTGCATTTGAGAGAAAAAAGGTTCTGAGCACTGCCCCCGAAAAAGCGCCGAGACCCTGATATATAATCAAAATCAAAAGACGTTAATAATACCATAGTTAACACAATTCTTTGTCGCGTCCAACTTTCAAATAAACAGCGCCCTAAAATTAGCGAGCTGCCCTCGAATAAGCTCCACATTTGAGGTGTGAAAAATAATCCTCTCGGCGTTTATTTGAGTAAATAACATAGTTTATCATGGTGTTTTCAAATCTTTTCCCCTAGGCTCCATTAAGCGAGGAGTTTGTATTCAGAGCATGTCTGCTGCCGATGTTAGTGCCAGGCTTTGGGAATGTCATGCCAATATTTATTTGTCCTTTATTTTTTGGAGTAGGTAAGACTGTATTTTCGTGTAACCACCAAGCCTCTATCTCGACCATTTCAACCACAACGTCTGTGCCAGCACTGCTAATTTACCCCAAGCGATCCAAACTCACGTTACGAGGAAAGGGTGTAAAGTTATTTACATACCATAGGTGACGCGTGCTAGACGCGCTGGTGTTGGTGCGCAGATCTCTGTCTTGTAAATGTACTTCTCAGACAAAATCCTATTTTCAACGCTCGCCTCAAGCGTGACAACGGTGCGTCTGTTTCAACTGTTTATTAATTATTGCAAATTTTACAGCAAGCAATATCCATTGCCCGCAGTTAGTAGATTAACTAGTCGAGGAGAGCAGTGGTTACACGTATGTTATATGTATACAAATAGCTCACAAGCAAGACTAGAGAAAAAAATAAAAAATGTTAAATAAATAAATAAAAATAACTTCAATTCAATTAAGTTTACAATCATGTATATTGTAACTATAAGAAGCCGAGTTTTCCGGAAATTTTTGTTATTAAGTCGGGTTAAATTGATATAATCATTTTCTTCTGAAAGTATTCGGAGTAAAGTGTCGTGGACATTGACTTTAAAGTTATTTTTGGACATTTTTACGCATTTCACACGGTAGACTATTCCAGATTTTTACACCATATCTTGTATAATCTTGAGTGTTTAACATAATAATTAGCACAATTAGACTCTTTTCTCTTAACGTGAGTTTGGGCCGCCTTTTACATGTATTTACCAGCACATACAACCATCACTAATAACCTGCGTAGCAAGCGTTTCCTTTTATCGTTATCTTTGGCGTGAAGTATGGTTGATGTGTCAGTGTAAGACCTACAAAAAGTAAAAACACGGTGTTACAGTACTTAATTTCCAATAAAGATTAATTAAGGTCATGAATTTATTACCAAAAATAATTGACATAGTTTGTCTTGTTCTTTAGCTCATATTCACCATGTTATTGAAAGATTGCAGCATGGGGAGAATCCAAAAGATGTCTGGTTTAGTGCAAGTAAGTTCTAGCCGCTGTCATCTACACTGTAAGTAGCCTGCAAGCAAGCTCTCCCGGGCGCTCTGGCGGTGGGGTGGGAAAAGAAGAAAGGAAATCTTGCAACTATGTCTCTGGAATATGAATTCCTACTCCAATTCCCCTGTTGCTCCCTGTCGATTGAGCTGTCAGATTTCCGCCAATCAACTCGAAGCGGAAACGAGCGCGCATGTAACCAAACATTGAAAAAAAAGGTGCCAAGGGTAATGACGTCATTACTAAGATCATCTCCGCCAATCAGCATTTTACATTTTGCAAGCTCTCCTTCCTTTTCCCACCCCCGCGGCCAGAGCGCCCCGGAGAGCTTGCTCGCAAGCTACAGTGTAAGCAGTAGCTAACAAGTATATTCACGTCCCTGATACTGCATTCCTCTACATGTAACCAAAAACATTGTCCCTCCCAACTTTACCCTACTGAGGAGTACCTGGATTTACGAACCGTTCCGACAATTGACGAATGTTACCGAAGATGACTTGTTTTGACTACCTCAGAACATTGCTGAAGATAGATCGATCAGTTTCGACGACCCTCAATCTTTTTTAAGGGTTGTCTGACGATTTGCGATAGTCGCCAATGCTTCTAACATGGTAAAAGATTAGACTGCGAGCACTGTCTCGTTGAGAGAAATGTCGGACTACAAGCAGTGTATCAAAGAGGGGCACACTTTAACAGCGAGACATTTCGTCTTTGTTAAATGTGTGATGATTAATAAAACCGCAGAAATGCTATTTAGACGTGATCTGTGCGCAAGTGTAATTACGCATAATGGTATGAGTTTGCAGATGTAGGCTTAGTAACTGAATAGAATAATGATGGAAATTCATCAATTTTATGTCAAACCAGAGTTATAATGTATATTAATGGTTTCCTTTTTAGTCTTTCAGTTTGGTTACACAACAGTCTTTGGAGGTTACTCTGCTTTTTTGTTTTTACGAACTGGTGAGTGTTTTGCTGTGTTTCGAATCCAGAGTCATGCACAAATTAAACAAACAACTGAACATTGCTAATTAAGTACTGGAAGTCCGTGAGACTCACTTCAAATTTTGTAGGAATTATACCTTTCACCAATGAACTACAATTTCAGCAAAACCAGAGACAGGAGAAATATGGAAACCCGAAAAATGCTGAATTTTCAGCAATGAGAGCTAAAACCTAGTTGTTGTCAGAGGAACGAAAAATCCTACCTGAAAAATCAATAATTCCAAAACAAAGTTATGCATCTGCATTTTATGAATAGGGCAAATTGAGAAAATAAAACTAAAGTTCGTCGGAAAGGGAACGGGGGAAGGCGAAATGTGGAGGTCGAGAGCGCGAAGCGCGCGAGGGATGGAAGGAAGGAGTGAAAAGATAACCTCTCCTACTTCCCTCGCGTGTTTCTCGCGTTCTAGCACGCCAGTCCGATTTCTAGATACAGAACGGTAAGGTTTAGCAAATATCGCATCTGTAGAAATGCCCCAGTTATTATCGTCTCTGTTTTTTGTTTCCTAGGTCATCTAATTGGTCCTGTAGTATGTCATAGTTTTTGTAATTTCATGGGATTTCCTCAAGTTGAACAGGTGCCAAGCGCGAAATTTCCACGACGTAAGTTTTATCAGGTGTTATGCATTTAACTTAAATTGACGCGGTAGAATTAGCTAAACGACACAGTTTTGCTTAAGCTTGAAAATTTTGCTATGAACTACGCCTCCTGCTCTTTTCGAGCAGCAGTGTATTCTTTCTCGTTCCCTTCGAACTGATAAGAGGGAGCTTTGTAACGATAAAGTCGATCGGAACCATAGGTTGAAAAGAACTCGAATTGCAGTTTCCCTTTTGAACACATCTTGCTCGCCCCGGGCCATTGATGGATTGTCTTACATAAATAAGTGGTTGTGTGGGTTGCGTCGTTGGGAAAACAGGTTAGCAGCGCAAGGAACGGAAACATTAAATGTTCGTATTTAACTCCTCTCCATCTACCAAAATTAGCGCTCCAAACCTTCAGTTTTTTAACACATATTTAAGCTTGCTTTTTTTAGCTGTTTTTATTCTCGTCGATCCCCTAATGCTCACGCCATGAGTATAAAACACTCTTGACTAAATAAATGATTTGTTTTCTGTATTTTTGCAGTTATAACTGCGTCATTTATGATTGGACTGATTTTGTTCCTGGTGCTAGCATTACCACTGACCAACCCATCGTGGTATCACTCTGTGTATTATCATGAACAGTTGCGAGATGGGTGATGACGAACAAGTCGTAAAGGCATCACTACAAATACATTGCGGCAGTCAAAATTAAATAGCCGTTGGAGTAATCGACTTTTAGTTAGAAAAAAACTTGTGGTCGGTTTCCGCGCTCATTTGCTTCTGAATTCACTTTGGGGAACTTTCGGAATGTGTAACAAGAATTTTTACCTCCTCTTCTAACTTATTTATGCCCAAACTTTACTCAATGCCAATGAATAAAAATCAGTCAAGAATTTTTTACCTACAAGTAAGATTCTCGAAATTTCTGTGGATGCAATTGTAAATTATATGATTTTTAGGGTCACAGCCGATCACGTCCCAGGGAGTAATGGAATAAAAGAGGTTGCAGTTAACTATAATAGTTTGAGTAAACCCTTTTTAAAAATATTTAAGAGGGAAATTGATGGTGTAAACCCAGTCGTTATTTCACAGCTGAATGAAACATTCTAGTTCTCTCGATATCAAATATATGACACTCTCAGATATTTAATAAACGAATCTTTCATTACATTTTGCTTATTTAATAAACTGTTTCCAGTCATGCCTAAGCTACTCATACACTCCCCTAGTGCCTTTAAATTAGGCCGATTCATCAAAGACATCACATCAAGTGAGAACGCAAAAAACGTGCGGAAATGACTAAACGCGCTCAATTTTCCGCTCTGCCATTGCTTAGTTGGGCTTTGAGATCTACTCGATGTCGTCATGCTGTCCTTGCTTCGTGTTTACTTGTTTTGATCTTCTGCTTTCTTTATTTTTTCACGCGCAGCCTCACGGGTAAACTCATGGCTTGAAAAAAAAAACTTGAATCTTCCATTCGCACATCTCCCATAATAAACCTTGTTTGCCCCCCCCCCCCCCCCCCCAAAAAAAAAAAAAAAAAAAATAGAAAAAAAAAAAATCTCACGGCAACGGGGGGGGGGGGGCCCGGGAAAGGGAAGGAGAAAAAAAAAAAAAACAAAGAGTAGGGAAATTAAAGGGAAGGCGGGGGGGGGGGGGAGGGGGGGCGGAAACAATGTGTTTTATTATGTTAGCTTGCCCATGGGCCATTGCTTGCATCTCTTAGTTAATGATTACCCTTGAGTATTAGGCGAGTGAGCTTATTATTATAAAAAAGGTATTTGCCCTGCAAGAAATTCTTATTGCCCCGGACTAAAGGACAGAGCTTCCCTTAAGCGCTGTTAAAGAACTGGCAGTCTTTCATAACACCCAGAGTGACACCAAAATCTGCAATTTAGACCCGAAATGCTAAGCATCCTCGCCCTTCTCATATGGGAGACTTTTGCTAAAGATGCTTTCCATTGCAAAATCTGGATTTAGCAGTTTGCATAAAACGTTAAATCCAAAAAATAGACGATTTCAACGCTGATTTATCCGTTCTGAAGGTGAATTTCATTTACGAAAACCAAATCCGCAGCTTAAGTGTTTTATAGGTTAGTCCGAAGAGGGATTTGCAAAATTGTTCTCGTGATCAGTGGTCTTTTTTTGCCAATTACAGAACGGCATTGTTTTTTCAAATCCTCTTCTGGATTTCCCAAAAAACGGAAATAAAGGAAATCTAAGGACGGAGTTTTCGGCGTAAAAATCTGTTCTTGGATTTCGTGTGTGGTTGAAAATCTGTTTCATAAACTAAATCCAGATTTCCTAATCGAATGCACCCTTAATTTCAGTCAGCGTTCTTTATTGAATTTGATCCATGACAACTTCTTCTCAGGTTGATTAAATTGTCGAATGTCCTCAACAAGTGTTGAGGACGACTCTCGTTCAGACGATCGGTTATAACCTACTCTTCCAAAAATGTATACACCTGTTTCAGTAAAGGTTGTTTTTGGATTTTTGGTCAACGCAGAATACAACAATGAAATGTTGCTTGAGTGACCATCAAACAATAGCTCTCAAAGACCAAAGCATGATTCCCAAAGCAACCTTTATTGAAATAGGTGTATATAGGAAGAATCATGACGGACAAGCCTATTAGCAAACTCGCACTTTAAGTCTTATTGATTTACTGGTGAATCAGTTTACGATATCCGATTCACTCAGCTGTGAAGTTTTAACCTTTTTTAAAAGTTCCAGACCGCCGATCAGTACCACAACTTTCATCAAATTTCTAGATTCTTATTTGGTAACTTGATGCTGGACACATCCCGAACGTTTGCAACACATCAGATAGTTCCTACAGCCATCCAGGGAAATTTTTTCTCAATCTCCTTTGAAATCAATCGTATTTTCTCTGCTGGATCACTTGAGACGTCCTTGTATTTCTCAAAGAGCTCTTCCACCTCTTGCTTGGCCTGCTCTTTAGCCAATGGCTCTAACTTCGCGTTAAACAACTTGACTTGTTCCTCGGCCAAGAAAAAAACGTACTCTTCTTCATCGGTAATGGTTTTGTCCGCCTTTGTGCAACAGCGGTCCAGTGTAATGCCAATGGTCGCAAGAAGAGCAACTACCACTACCATCACAATCGCGATCATGTGTGATTCAGCTTCAATGGATTCGATCTCGAGCAAAATCATGGACTTCTCCAAGGGACTCGATGTTGCGTTGTAACGCTGTTCAGCCGCACCAAGTTTGTAGCAAACGTAATAATCAGCTTGAACATAAACAAACAAGAGCCAAACAATTGGAGCAAAGAGGCAAAGATATAAAGATCTACGGTAACGCCTCCAGATACTTTGGCGAAAACGTCTTGGAAGAGAACAGGATCCCAGTGTCAGATGCCAAAAAGGTTTCGATAGCATCAAAGCAAGGCAAAGTAAAAGCACTGCAGGCGCAGTTATAAACAGCATACTGTAAACTCCGTAATTCTGCTCAGGGCATTGGAAAGCCAACTTACTTAGGCCCAGCTTCATGACCACAACACCGCCTGACAGAGCTCCTTTTTTCAGTGGTAGTTGCACCTTCTTTATGGAATCTTTAATGGAAGAAAGTCCACCGAAGACTTTCTGACTAAGGGTTGTTGATTGATTAGCTGGCGCTTGGTCGGCCATGATGACTTCTACCACCTTCTAGGTGTAGCCAGGAAGATCCAAGAATGTGTGATTGGAAGGAAGAATTGGGCAGCTGTTATCAGAAAAGAAAAAAAAAATGAGTGATGCTTCTCCAGTTGAGTTAGTTTTTGTTGGATACCTCAAACATTTCTCTCTTTATACATTATTCAGATAGTTTAGCTTTCTATTCTTTTCAGGTAATGGAGAATAATTGTAAAGAGTTTTTTCCTTTGATTTAGGTTGCAAGTCCCACCCGCTGTTACCTGCTGCGATCTCAGTTGTCTATTGTATAAGTGACATCATCTTTCCTCTGAATCTTGATCTCGAATCTGAATAGTTCTGGTTAAAACGTTACTATGCTGTTTGCGTTGAAATCCGCAACTAAAACAATCAAAGACATTTATGTTTAGTTGGTGTAATTATTTTTTTAAAAGTCATCATACATTTGCACTAAATAGATACCTACTTAACTGTGATCGTTGTTTGCGGGTCATTTTATCAATCATCTCAACGTTTGATGCAGTTAACAGACAATCTCCACAAATCGGGTTTGATCGGGATACTTGCCAGGGTTTCTTAGCACTTTTATGAAGTGATAAGGCAATAGCTTATTCACAGGTTTAAACGATCGTTTAAAAAAAAAAATACCCGCAAAGAGAGAGGGGAATGGGCGGGGACTGGGGCACGCTTCATCGATTGCTTTGGTGGCTTTCGACTCGAAAGCCTCGAAACAGTAGAATCAAAGAAATGGAGCGACACTTGAAAGTTTCAAAATCTGATAAATCCCGTGGCCCTGTTAGTGTCCCCATTTATTTTGAAATATATTCAAGATCAAATTGGACTTTGGAAACCATAGTATCAGAGAAAAACCTCTCAGTAGGTAAAGGAATCAGGAGACTAAACCCATAAATAGCGTCGACGCTGCAACTCCAAACAAGGGGCGGGTGCTTTTTCACTGCTGGTTATCAACGTCACTGAGAGCAACTATTGAACAACATAGATAAGGAAGTCATTTTTACTGTTTATAATTGGATTGCTTTTGCTAGAAATAAAATTGATGTCCCACTTGCAAAACCGCCGATAAGAACTCGACGTATTATATCATTAACAAGAGAATTCAGAGCGATAAATACAGAAAAACAGGTTCCTCTAATACTAAAGAATAGTTCAAAATATTACCCGGGATTGTCGTTAATTAATGACTATGAAAAGTTACCCCTAGTATGTGTGGGTAGGAGTTTCACATTAGTAAAGACCAAAGTAAAGGAGTGGATTTCACTTTAGTGGAGACCCATCAAAAGAGTGGGTTTCATCTTAGTGAAGACCCAAGAAAAGGAGTGGATTTCACCTTACTGAAGACCCATCAAAAGAGTGGGTTTCATCTTAGTGGAGACCGAAGTAAAAGAATAGATTTCGTGTTAGTGGAGACCCATCAAACGAGGTTTCATCATAGTGGAGACGCAAGTAATGGACTGGGTTTAATCTCAGTGCAGACCCATGCAAAGGAGTGGGTTTCATCTTAGGTAAGACTCATTTAAAAGGAGTGGGTTTCATTTTAGATGAGACTCATGTAAAGGAGAGGGTTTCAGTTTAGATAAGACTCATGTAAAGGATGGGGTTTTCTTAGTGGACAAGCAAGTTATAAGGAGCAGGTTTTATCTTAGGAAGAGGCTCATGATCAAGTAAAGGAGCAGGTTTCACTCTTAGGTAACACTCACGGAAGGACAGGGTTTCATCTTAGTAGAGACCCGAGTAAAGAGCAGGTTTCATCTTAGTGCAGACCCAAGGAAAGGAGTGGGTTTCTTCTTAGTGTAGATCCGAATAAATATGTGGGTTTTATCTAAGTATACTTCCTGGAAAACCAAGTAAAGGAGTGGGTCTAGTCTTTGAGAGACCTATTAAGTAAAGAAGTGGAGAGACAACTTTATGAAATCATCATCGCCAAAACCATTATTGCCCTAATTGCCAAAATCTAGTCAATAGAACACTTGCAGCAGATGACGTAACTGAGCCCGAGATAAGAAACTTTTTTGCTTAAGAGACATTTCATTAGTTTTAACCGAATATAATGATTCCAGGGGAATCCTCTTCATCCAGTTTCGATGCTAGAATTAAATTGTAGCCAAGAAGTTTAGTCTAATATGAAGAGAGGGAGTCCGGGAAGGCCGAAGTCAATCGGACATCCATCCTTGTCTACAATGCCTTGTGTCAAACCAAGAGAGAATAATACGATCACTCTGTCTTGGTGATCAAACATCCTAGGTATTATATTAGGAAAGAAACTTGTTTTATACCCTACTCGGATCATGTTGGCTTAGGGAAGGGGTAGGTGCGCAGTTTCCCTGAAATCGAAATGTATAATGATACCGTAATTCAATGCTTTGCGTGCGTATGAATAACTCTTTATTAACCGTTAGGTTTTCAATTAGGATTTAGCCTTGTATTGTAAATATTTATATTGGAGTTAAAATTCTTACTATAAATGTTCTTCAACTATTTGACTCTGAATATGACTACAGCACAGGGATGTCGAAACGTCAGTCACTGTCTACAACAACAATCCTATTAATTAAGGACTACGTTCACCCGGACGATCGAACTCTACCTACTTTTATAAATGTTCTTGTGACAAATTTTCAAAAAAAAGTCAGAAATTGTCCTGGAAGGCACAGTCATTATGAAAAGGTTGTGATCTAGAGTCGCCTGATGGCCTCCTAGCGCCTTTAGTTTATTTTTGGGCGACCAAGCTAGATAATCTTTTTTTTTCGCAAAGAGAATTAATATGTTTGGTACCTTGGATTTCACAATTTAAGAGCTCATGGCTTTCTTCACTTTTCCTTAGAGTACAGAACCATGTTAAAGAGTTTTTTTTTTTTTCCACAAGGGATCTTTACATTCTGACATAGCTTACCTTTGAGTTGGTTGCTGTCCGTACAATGCAATGACTCAGCGTAGAATGAAATTATTTTACGAAAGCCCTTTTGTTTAAAAGCAAGTTTAAAAACTGATTTATAACGTCACTTTTTCCAACATTCCAAAGCATAAAACTTGTCCCTCTTGACAACAGTATGAATGAATAATTAAGTCAGTAAACTTAAAGCCATTTCCCATTTAATGAAACATATATCTTTCAGCATCTAGTGTTACAACAACAATTTTTTTTTCAGTAACCAAGCGAACCTATAGCTAAAAATGGACATAGAACGTTCTCCACCAACAGAAAGAAGATTGTGTCCATAGGATTTGGAGTTGAATTTTCACTGTGAAGTTACCTTTGAGTTTCACTTGTATAAGCGACCTTCGATTTCAACACCATTTAGGAATAGATATCCGTCAATCAAAAGGCTCAAACGCTACTTTGAAGGAAACCTATTTCCAAGAGGTTTTGATTTGGGAAGGTCGCGTAGCACTTAAAAATTCTGGTAGAAAGTTTAAAAAACACACAGTTCATCCATATGGACGTATATGATCACTCATGATTATCGAAAAACGAATGTTGAGCAGGAAATTCGCCGGCATTATCCGCTGGCTCTACTCACGCTTAAGAATAATTTAAACAACGGCAAAAAAAGGTAAAGGACCCTGAATGTACGGGTTCTCGATCAATGACGCTTTATTCTCCAAGTGATACACACATTTTCAATACAGTTATCAATAAATAGGCCCTAAGCCTCACATTAGTTGGAAACCTCCTTTGTTCAAAAGAACAATTAACAAGAGTACTATTATTTAAAACAAAGCTAGGGCACTGAAAGGTAATTAGATCGTTTTTGTGATTAAACTTTTACTCAAAAAAAAAGTGGGATGTAAAAAAGGGTTAGTCAAAGGAAATCCTTTTTGAGTCTCTTTCCTGGTTATTTATACTTGCAGCCTGGCAGAGGTTTCTTGTTATATAGTTGTTTCTATTATTTTGAGATATCTAATAAATACTATGGGGTCGATCTGATCCGGGGGCTACTTCCCTATAAAATGGCAGAGGTGCTGGTCGAAAAATTCAACTTCAGTGGCGGATCGAGGGGAGGGGCCCACCATCCCCCGCCCCACCCTTATTTTTAGACCAAACTGAGGCTCGAAGGGCCGAAAAAAAAATTTATGACAAAGCCCCCCCCCCCCCCCCCCCCCCACCCCAAAGGCGGCCGGTTCCCCCCCCCAACACACCCCCCCCAACTTAAACAGGACCCAAAAATTCCTGCGTTTTGTTCCGTTTAAAAACAAAAAATTCTAAGTCCACGAATGTTTTAAGAGAAAACACCTCTCCGTACGGGCGTTGAAGGGCACAACCCCCCCCCCCCCCTTCCCCAATCTGAAGGTCGTCTGGATCCGCCACTGAACTTACACCGCTAAACTTAAACGGTACCAGAAACTTGCTGTCGTTGGTGCCGTTAAAAGCATCAATGTTCAAGTTCACAGCATGTTTACAGGTAACCACTCTTCGCGTACGGCTGATGAAGGAGCGTCAATGAGGATATATACCCTAAACGGATTGTTTACTGTATAGGGCGAGTTCCAGCGATGAAATTAGATCTATGTTGTATTTCAATTTTAAATTTGGTTTAAATCTATTTCGCTTTGTTTTGGGGTATGGTAATGTGTGATATTGAGTCTAAAAAGGGAAAAATTTAAACCAAGGATAAATTTGACATTAATATAGCTGTACACGTTAGCTTAAAGGTGGACCGTCTTGAGCCATCGTGTCTGAAACCATTACAGTTGCCATGATATCCAGGACAAACAACTCAGTCAAAAAAACAGCAAAATCTTGATTTAATTTCTCAAAGAAACATTAAGATATATGTTCGGGATCCAGGTAAGAGATTTGCAAGGTAACTTAATTATAGCACGATAAAACGTATCAGCTAAGAAGAAAATTACTTTAATATTTTCAAATACAGTAACTATGAAGTTGCCATCTCAGTCAAGCCCATTGTGGTTATAAATAAGTTAAACTGAAAGCTCAGGATTGGCCAAATTTAAACTAATAGCTAAGATCAGACTGATAAAAAAAGTATCCATGAGTAAATGATAACTGTGGGAGTCTCGTACACCTCCAAGAGGGTCCTTAAGTAGCAGGTCGACAGATCATACTGCCCCTAATTGTGTTCGCGAGAAAGGTATTAAGTAAGATCAGAAAATAGCTTCTCTCTTCCCTGTTCATACAAAATTAAACGAAATAATCATAATAAAAGCAAGAACAGAAAAAACTAAAACGTCGAGAGAAAAAGAGAACATGAACATGAAGCTAGACTCATAAAATCCTAATTAATCCAGTATTTAAGATATAAATTATTTGCAACAAGTTTTGACCACTCGCTTTTAATTAATCAGTATATAAATATTCATGTTTTTATATTATTTCTAATCATCACGATGATATTAAATAATCTCCTGATGTATTTTGACCACTCGCTTTGTTTTCATTTATTTTTTTCATAATTTATTGTAAATTTAAACATGTTTTTTGCCCTCTCTCATTCTTCTTCACTACTCTATTGATATCAATATTTCGTGGAAATGTTTGTGCTTTTCAACATTTCAGTTGAATATGAATGTTATCAATTTCCTGAAATATTTTGATCACTTGCACTTAATTTATATAAATATATTTTTTTGGAATATCTTTTTAACATTTAAGATGAACGTGAATAACTTCCTAACAGAAGCACTTCGACCTTATTTTCTACATTTATCCATAATATGGAGATTTAAATATATATATTTTTCTCTTTTTTTTCTTCACTGCTTCATTAAAGTAAATATTGTCATGAAAGATATTAAACATCGCCGATAATGTGTATAAAGGGTGTAGTTTATCGTTTGTCTCACGATTGTTGTTTTGATATTTGATCGCGACGTTTCGACCGCACACTGCAGGTCTTCATCAGGCGATAGCGTCGATTTACTGAGTCGCACTACATTTGTACCACCCTGGTTGTTAGCTTCTCGTGTATCACGAACCTCGCTCATTGGTGGGTTTCGATCCAAAGCATTGATGGTATTGTCAGAGGAGGAAACTGGTCCATCAGCGGTCCGCTGTGGTGGCCATCGACTGTTATGTTGTCTGATTGTCTGCATCCACGCTTGAGGAATCTCAATTCCACTTTTCTGTTGATGTTGTTAAGGTGAAGTCTTATGTGAATAGCCTCTTTAACTCTACGAGAGTACCAGTGCGGGTCTCGGTCAATAAACTTAACTTCGCCCCAGAGCAGATAATGCCCTGTCTTTAACTGGCGTGTTCAGAAACTGCCGAAGTTTAAGTTCCTGAAAGCCGTACTGGACTGGGACAACTTTGGCAAAAGAAAACTTCTGTCGGCAAATTTGGGGAAAGTTGGTAAATACACTTTTTTAAGTGAAAATTAATATGCGCTGAACACGAATATTTTGTTTACCAAGCTTGGTTCGATCATTTAAACCTTCGAATTGGCTGTTTATTATAGATAAGTACTCATCAGTGTGGTATGATGACTCAGAGTACTTTTTAAAAACGTTAAAAATCAGCAGGTAATAAATACGACAAGCTTTTTTTATAGTACCTTTGTTGTTACTGCTCGATACGTAATCACATGATTTTTTGGCCACGTGACTACTGAAAACGAAGCCATAGAGTTCTGAAGTGATGACGTCATAAAAAATCAAATTTGTGAAATTATGGGATTTGTCGCCATATTCTAAAAGAACAACATCCAAGTGACCTACTTGCCAAAAATTAGCATTTCAGGGCAAATTGTCTAGATCTCTGAGATATTAGCCCAGTTATGCTCTGATCACTCCATACAAATCCTTCTAAATCTCAGAGACAATTTGCCCCGAAATGTTAATTTTTGGCAAGTAGGTCACTTTGATCTTGTTCTTTCAGAATATCGCCAGAAATCCCATAATTTCACAAATTTATTTTTTATGACGTCACACCGCTAGTACTCTATTGGCCACAGAAAAAGAGTGTTTTCCAAAAGCCAGGATTGGCCGGCCGGGCCAGTCATTTGGAGAGCGAAATATTAATCTTTTCTCAAAAAGTTTGATTTAGGAGTAAACAGATGTGGCTGGAAAGTACTAATTTGTAGTGGATTTATCCTTACAACTAAACTGGTCTGGTCAGCCAGTTCTAACAAATGGCAGAAGCCCATAACCCGGAGCGAGCAATTAACTTCCATTCTAGGCCTATGTCACGGCATTTTTACGGACCGGTTTATTTTTAGACACAATTTAAGGCAATTTTCCCGCGAAAATGTAACTTTTGCAAAGTCTATGAACGCATTCGAAGTATAAGATGTTAAAAAGGAAAACGTAACGTCGTTAAAAGGCAAAAATTATCATTTTTAGGTGTGTAGGTTTTGCTGAATGGTTTGTGGGCCAGTTAAAAGATATTCTAAATTCGGTTAAAACCGTTCTAAAAATAAACTGGCCCGTGAAAACGCCTTGTCACAAGTACATGGAAGTTGCGCGCTGCAGGTTATGGGCTCCTGCAATGGTAAGCTCCCTAAGTGTTGTTTGTTTGTTTGCTGTTGGTTTTTTTTTTGCCGATAAGAGTTCAGATATCACGAAAAACAGTTCAAAACTATCTTGTTTTCTGTCGGTGTATCAATGAAGTTTCAAACAATCGATCGAAATTTTTTGTTTCACGTGGCAAAACCCTATTATTTATAATTTTCGCGCTTCTCATTTTTCCAAACTCTGCAAGGTTGTTTTTGGAGTTGCGGATCGGAATCTGTTTTTGTTTTTATACTGAAACCGAGCGTCACTGGCCCTGACAAAATAACTAGGTTGCACAGGTTGAAATATTGTACTGATCATGTTAGGAGTGCTCTTTTGGTAAAGCGCAATCCTTGTAATAAAACTTAAGGTATTTATTTTTCTTTGGGTTGCTATGTGAACACAGTATATACGCAGTCCGCTTTATAAATGAGTTTTCGAGAGCTAATATTTTCCATATAGCGTGATTTATTTAGCAGCCTCTATCTATTAGTTTATTTATGATTAGGAAATTATATTATGCTAATTTCGGACAGTATTTCTCTAATGAAATGTGGTTATGAAAAGTGCGTAAATGCTTAGCGTAGTTTCTATGTTAGTTATTAGGGTCTATTTATTCAAAGCCAGACGTTTATGCTTAAAATCTAAAAATCAAACTTGGGAAACAATTTTTTCGTGTTCAGCGCATCATTTTCCTCGAGTTTGCCGACAGAAGTTTATGTAGCAGCTATCAGGGGCACCCAACGACTGTTATCTGTAAACTGCCCGTTTGTTGAGGACGGCTAAAAATTTCCAGATGACTGTTCCAGTCATATATGTACAATTTTCGAAACTTAAGGTGGCTCCGTCACTAATATTGGAGCATTTAACTGTGACAAATTTTCCTTCATAACTTTTTCGTTTTTGGAGCGATGGCTGTGAAACTTTGCAAAGAATAACAGATATCATTGGGCAATAGTACGAAATATTCCGAATTCATAGATGGTAAATATTTCTTGAGAAATTAGCGCTTAAAAGGACCTTAGTGTTCAAAGAAAATCGCTTCTAGTAAAAAATTTTGCTGATATTTTTTACTGAAATTTCTGGTATGGGCTTTCATTGACATAATAAATATGCCGGAGAAAATCGTTGGAGCAGAAGTCCGTAACTAAAAGTCGCTCAAAATTCAGCTGTGAAATTGTTTTGGAATTTCAAAAATAAATTACGCTCAGGTAGAAGAAGCCACCAGTTTGAGTTTTCAGGACAAGTGAATTCAATGTTTGCCAAAAATAAAAACAAAAGTTGATTGCCTATCGTGCTATTCTTTAAAAGGCACTTTTGAGTTTTAGAAGCACCATAAATTGCTCCAAACCTTGCTCTGACGTCGAATGACTTGTTCTTCGACAGTTTTAAAATATCTCTCGGCAGTTTTGGTTCAAACTCCTGCTACAAACATTTTGTTGTATTGCAATGCATCCTCAACGGCTTTTTCTGCTGAACGTTGCTTCCAATTCAGGAAAAAGGTGTTGGGATTGTGAGCTACCTTGTATCGAAGCTCAGACAGAACTGTCCAGCACCTTTGTTTATGACCAGCAAATGCGCACGAGCGGCAGCTCTGCAAGGAATTCGCACCTCATCCAGGGGGGACGAATGACAATGATGCCCATGTCTGCGAACCGATCTGTATAAACATGTATTGCAGAGCAAACATAATAATCAAGAAAAAACTGCCCGTTCATTGAAGGAAGGAGTAACAGAAATTTCAGAGTTGTAAATTTATTCACGGGCATTATTCTTGCGATAATTTTATTTTGCACTGTGATGTAATTCGGTTCACAGGCAAGGGCAACATTGTCGTTCGTCCCCCCTGGGTGAGTTGCGAATTCCTCGCGGAACTGCCACTCGTGCTCATTTTGTAGTCATAAACAAAGGTGCTGGACAGTTCTATCTGAGCTCTGATACGAGGTAGCGTCCAATCTCAATACCTTTTTCCTGAGTTGGAAGCAACGAACAGCAGTAAAAGTCGTTGAAAATGCGTTGCAATACATCAAAATATATGCAGCAGGAGTTTGAGGCAAAACTGCCAAGGGATATTTTAAAAATGTCGAGGAACAAGTCATTCAACTTCAGAGCAAGGTTTACTAGGGGGCTATAACATATAGCTTAGTAGTAGCTCAACCAATCAGAACGCAGGATTGATAATTGACCACTAGGTGGATTTTACTAAAATCATATATCACGATCGTGCTCCTCAATCCGTTTATGCACGCACCTTTCCGTTTCGCCAATGTATACTTTGCCCCATTTACAAGGAATCTTATACACTACTCCATCTTGTCTTCGTGGATCCTTAGGTCGTACTAAGTGCGATCTTAGTGTTGCGTCGGACTTGAAAACAGATCCTACGCCATGCTGTTGTAGGCAACGACGAAGTGGTTCAGATAAACCTATATATGGCAGAACTGCTGCAGATTTAATTTCGGTTGCGGGTTCTATATCAGAGATGCCTGCCGGGTCTTGGATTTTGTGATCATGTTAGTTACAAACGAATCGGGATATCCGTTAGAGACAAGGGCAGAGGCTAAATTCTTCTTTTCCTCAGGGATAACCGATGGTTTACTGATGATATTTTTCGATCGATCGTATAAGCACTTGACAACACCGCGTTTAACTGAGCCATAAGGCACACTGATTTGTGCGTAGGTTTTCTGTAAGCACTTGTAGCGAGGCGTCCTTCTGAATCTTTTATGACCAATTTGTCAAAAAGGGAATTGTGTTGTCATTCTCAGTCTCCATTATAAAACGGATGGTTGGTTGTTGAGTGTTGAGAAGCCGCTGCAGAAGATTTTTCGACATCATTTCGTTTTAAGCTGGTAAAAGTGCCGTCAATATAACGGAGGCTGATAACGTTATCCAGTTCTTTGGGGCGGTTGGCGCGAATGACAATGCTTGTTGTTCAAAGTCCTTCATGTAGAGGTTGGTTATGACTGCGGAAACTGGGCTTCCCATAGCTGCGCCATCTTGTTTTTCATATATTGCTCCATCATATCATGATGAAAGTATGTGAACCTAACTTAAAACAAAGTTAATTCTGAAAGGGTCAGCAATCTGTGCAGGTGTTAAAGTTGTGCGACTAGAGACGCTTGGGTCACTCGCTAGTTTCCGTAAACTAGCTTTTTAGTACAGCACCTTCAATTGGAACATTTGTAACTAAAAATTCTACATCGCGGAATGATACCATGATCTCGTTTTCATCAACCGTTTCTTCCTTAATAGTCAACGCAAAATGAGCTGAATTCTTAACCGTGTAGGCAGACTTCCCCGTTAAGGGAGCTAAGATCTCGGCTAAATAGCCTTGTACTGAATCATAAGCAAAGGTGTTAACACACGTAACTATAGGTCTTAGCTAGAGGTATGTTTGATTTGTGTATCTAAGGTAGACCGTAGAATCTAGGTGACTGTTTGTGTTTAGGTCTAATCTTGCCTATACACTGGTTCAGTCAGGTGACCGTTTCGTTTAATATCTAATTAAGGGCTTTTCAGTTAATACATGTAGTAGACACAACCAACCATCAGTTTTAGTATCCGTCTTACATGTACAATGGAGACTGAGAATGACAACACCATCCATCAAAGGATTATCTGAACCACTTCATCGTTGCCTAAAACAGCATGGCGCACGATCTGTTTTCAAGTCCGACACAACACTAAGATCGCACTTAGTACGACCTAATTCATTAGGATCCTGTTGATCCAGGAAAACAAGATGAAGTAGAGTATAAGATTCCTTGTGAATGTGGCAAAGTTTACATTCACTGAACAGGAAGGTGCATTCATGAATGGATTAAGGGGTACGATAACGATAGGCCAGGGATATACCGCTTTCAGGAACTCAAACTCCGGCCGTTTCCGAACTAGCCTGAGTATCAGGCCTTCCTAAGAGGCTAGGGGAGAGGAGATTTTAGATGGGGAAGGGGAGAGGGGGAAGAAGAGCTTTCTCCCTTTTTCGCTTCCATCTTTCCCCTTTTCCCCCAGAAACGCCTAATACTCAGGCTATTTCTGAACGCACAGCACGCCGACCGTGCATTATCCCCTCTTTAACGAAGTTAAGTTTATTGACCAAGACCCGCACTGGTACTCTCGTAGAGTTAGAGAGGCTATTCACATAAGACTTCACCTTAACAACATCAACAGGGACGGTGGAATTGAGATTCCTGAAGTGTGGATTCCAACGGTCAGGCAACATATAACAGCCGGTCGCCACCACAGCGGTCCCCTGATAGATCAGTTTCCTCCTCTGACAATACCATCAATGCTTTGGATCGAAACCCACCAACCATGGTTCGTGATACACCAATCACTAACAACCAGGGTGGTACAAATAGTCCGACTCAGTAGATCGACAATATCGCCTGATGAAGATCTGCAGTGTGCGGTCGAAACGTCGCGATCAAATATCAAAGTGACAATCGTGAGACAAACGATAAACCAAACCTTTTTAAAATATAGATTGATATCATTATATACCGTGTGGCACGAAATTTTTGCTGGTTATAATTTTTGCGAGTTTAGTTGCAATTTTTCCAGCTATCCGCAAAAATAAGTTCCCGCAAACAAAACGTGCCGCAAACATTTTTCCTGCAAAAATTTAAAGTCCAGAGTACTGATATTCTCTAACTTAAAATACAGTACTAAGAAATCGTGTCTGTTCAATCACAACTTGTCTCTTTCATTCAGAAACAAAAAATTATACAATGGAATACTGGTCACAAAAAATTAGTTCCCGCAAAACCCCAAAAATGGCCAATCCGCCAGCATAAACTCCCGCAAAAATTTCGTGCCACACGGTAGATACTTTGTGGAAATGCGTGTTTAACATCTATTGGTCTCTTTTATTTCATTCAGGAACAGTAGCAAAATGATGAAGAGAACCCGGAAGTTTCTGAATGTACAAGAAGCCAGGAGCTTTTTTCTCCACCGCTTCATTCGTATAAGTATTAAGTATAAGTATTTTGACCACTCATTCGTACTTTATAAATGTTTTTTTTTTTTAGAATATCTTTGTAACATTCCAGATCAATGTGACTAAGTTCCTGAAGTACTTCCACCTTTTTTTTTTTCTACATTTATAATTCGTTTCATAATTTGTAGAAATTAATTTTTTTCTTCACCATTACATTAGTATAAAAATTAAGTGGAAACATTTTTTTAAACATTTCCAATGAATATGATTCAATTCCAGAAGTATTTCGACCGCTCCCTCATAATTTATATATTAAATTAAATGTTCAGTTGAAATGCTTGTTTCAACGTTTCTAATGAATATGGATGATTTCTTAAAGCAGTGGTTTGACCACTCGCCCGTTTTTTCTTATTAATTATTTTCATAATTGTTATATTAATTGTTATTTTTTCTCTTTTCATTATTCACAGCTTCATTATAGTATAAGCAGTTTGTGTAAATGTTTTTTTTAACATTTTCAATGAATGTGAATAATTTCCGAAAGTATTATGACCACGCGCTCGTTTTTCATATATTCTTTTACTAATTTGTAAATTCAATTTACAAATTATTGATTAAAAAGAATATATGAAAAAAAAAGAGCGTGGTATATTTCGCATAAATATCAGTAATATTTTCCATTTTAATCGATATAAGTTATATTTCCCATTTTTAACGGTTGATTTTTATATTCTCGTCTAACTTTGACCAGGGAAGAGAGAGTTATCTAGTGTGGAAAGCTCATTTTTCTATTCATGAAGACACTTAGCGGTTCCAGCTGCATGATGAAGGTTAAGTTCTCAGGAGGTGAACGAGACTCCCACATGGTTATCAGTATAAACCGATCACTGTATTACTGTCCATTAGGACACCGACACGATCAAAGTGTATAAGGCATTAGTTATGCAGAAACTACGCCGCACATGCGTAGATTGGTGACAATCTTACCGCGAGAGACTTGAACCTACATACACATATTATCATAGCAACGATGTGAGAGCGTTTCAGTGCAGTGACTGAGTGATACGCAACGGGGATTATTATGCTGAATTCGTTTTTGAATTGAATAACCGAATGATAAGTGAGACTGAAATGGCAAACATCAATTAAAGGCTTCCTCGACTTTGCAGCTAGCCACTACTTGCATTTGTTAATCAAAAGATAATATAAATTAATTATGTATATATAAAAATTTAAACAGGAAATAATGTAATGTCTTCACACTGTTTTAGATGAATGTGTGTTCGATCACACAGTAGCGTATTTTGCTTAATTTACTAATGTGCAACTAGCTCTGAGGTATCACTGAAAAGCTCTATTTCATATCTTAAGGGGAAAGGGCTATTCCTAGTAAGTAAAACGAGTTTCAAAATTGGTATACGAAAGAAAAAAACTAAGGAAAATATCCTAGAGTACTTCTACTTGAAAGGTGGGCAGATCTAAGGCCGTAAGTTTGTGTTATTGAGTGAAATTCTTGAGCGAAGTGGTTAGATCATAAGTTAACTAATTATAACAACCTACAGATTGGAGCAGCTTATAAAAGAGTAGATGATTACAAATCTCAATCAATTTTCAGTAGTTTAGGATGCCCTCTGCAATGCCTATCGATTAAAACAAAACAACAGTTAACTTCACATCCTATAGTTAAAGAGTGTCAGCACTCGGAGAAGAGTCATATTCTTACCGTGCTTTTTCAGGAACATTCCTTCTTCTTTTGTCAAGTGAATCTTGCTTTTAATTTGTTTCCTAGAAAAGAAAAACAAAGAAACAAACAAGGAAGTTAGAAACAAGGAGAATATTCATGCCCCATTCAAAGAGCCTCTCCCCCCCCCTCCCCCCCCCCCCCCCAACTTGCTAACCAACAATAATACTTTCGACAAAACCAAGAGTTACCCGGCAATTAATTCTTGACTTCAAAACATAAAACTCGGAAAGCATGATTATAATGCAAATGATACTGGTTTGTCCACAGTATTTTTGTCATTAATATCAGAAGCATTACTTCTGTTAATATTCAGAAGTGATGTGAAATTGATAAAAGGCTTTTTTGACGTTGAGGTTATTTGATCGCCACTACAGGTCCCTTCGTAATAAATTTAGTGTTGCAGTTGAGGTTTGAGCGTCATTAAACCCTAGTATCAGCAAAAAAATCTTGCCCCAAAGTGCAAGGAGAGGCTAAATGCGAAGCCATTAATATCAAAGCGATTTTTCATTCTCATGCAAAGGCAACCATTTTCACAAGAAATTAAATTAGGTTGTGCAATTGGCCTCATTTTGAAAGTCGTAGAGTTACTGGAACTTGGAATTTATCTATTGTAATCAAATAATTAAGCAAACTAATCATAAATACTATTGCACTCACTTCAGAAAAAGCCGGGACACACAGATCAACGACTTGAGTTTACTTCCGGGTTTATGTATGATACAGCTTTTGAGGCGATCACTAAATCTAAGAGGAAAATGCCAAATAACAATCAAAATAACTAAGCAGGAGTAAATGCAAAGCTGATCCTGTGTTATGCGTTGTATATACAGGGAGCCACACTAGACGAATCTAAAAAATCCGGCTAGTTTTAACGCAAAGAAGCCATTTATACATAAGTCCTTTAGATATTGCATGTAGTGTGAATAACTGTAAACTAAAATACTACCCTATTTTGTTCACCTGCAAAGATAAAGAGGAGGAAAAATTAACTTACGCTTCTTTCAAGATCTTGTAAATCTTCCTGGCTATGCTAGAACAAGACATCGCTGGTTCCTCACTCGTATGCACTACTATAACAATCTTCTCGCTTGTGACACTGGCAGCGATAAAAGCTTTTGCGTATCTGTGCCGAGGAATATTGAAAATACGTTGAATGCGTTGAAGATTATAAAATGCACGGTTTTCTTCAAGGCCCATTTTTTCGTTCCAAAAGTAGATAACACTATCAAATCTCTGTCCAGTGGATAACACAATTAGTTTTCCTAATACTTGTCCGCTAGATAGCATTCTATATAGTGATTTATCCGATGGATAGCGCTATCCAAGTTTGGAAAACCTGGGTCAGGAGATTTTAGAAAGTCCCACTCTACAAAGTAGCCACCTTCAGGACCTAGCTTGGGACCAGGAAAGGCTCCTTGGTAGAAGAAAACGGCGAACAACTGGGTGCAAAAATTGGCAAGCGATGCTCCCTACTCCCTTCCCCACTCTGCTGTTCGCACTCGGCCTCGGATATTCGCCCCTGATCACCAATAAGGAGCCTTGAACCATACAGGCTATTCAGGACCAGATGCCGGTTTCCGTTTACGCAGGAGGGGTAGGCGATAAGCCTTGCGCTGCATAACAAGGATTTTTGACATCCTACACGCGTACCTATAATAAGTTCAACTCGTTTGCTCTGATCTATTTTTTTCGTCAAATATCTATGGAATAACGGTTTTCATCTAAGCTGGATCAGGTTTGGGATAAAGGCAAAAATAACAGTAAGAGTAAAGGGTCTGGGGCCTTAGGTAAAGGTTAGAGTTAGTTATAGTTAGGTTAGGGCTAGGGCTAGAAAGAAGGCTTAGAGTTTTCCCGCATTAGCTTTATTAGTTTATTAGTTCTCAGCCTCATGCAGAAGGTTAAGAATATAGGATTTTATATTTAGGTTTTCGTGAAGGCGCTGCGAGAACAATAATCTCAGCCTTTTTATAGAGCCCTTTGCATGTTCCCATCTGGAAACGACGCAAACATGACAAATTGCTTATTAGTTGGTCTTGAAAATTAGCCGCGGTGGTTGTACTGAAAGCCGCCTTTTAAAGGAGAACAACTTTAAAAAAAAAATTTCGTTTGAACCCTCTGTTAAAACGAGTAAGCGGTCATGAGCTCTGGTTGTGAACAATTTTATGTTTACTTAAAGCAGATAACTTTAGAGCACTTTGATCATCATGAATTCACTTACAAGATTAGAGCATCTCTGACACCTTTAAAGCATTTCTTTGTCGAAAACTGGGACTTCTTGGGAAGCTTTGATGTGTTGATGATTACAATGTCATTTCCATTTACGTCCTGAAGCCCTAAAATAAATGCGTCAATTACCAAATAATGATAACAATACAGTGTAATTACTACTATTTATTCGGAAATGACCATAACGTTACCATTTTAAAGGGTCTCTGGTCAGTTTTGGACCTAATCTTCTGATAAGCAATGCTGGGTTGATATCTCCGGTCCAACCAAGAACCGAGAACGGGGCCTTGAATAATCACCTGTATTCTCCATTTCCACCGAGACCATAATGCATCTCTTTTACCCACCCCCCTCCCCTAAATTTTGCATAACCGTTGTCTTCGATTTCTCTTGGGGCCAATCTCGTTGGAAGACTGTAATACGCTCTTCTCACATATGGTAATATGCCCGTCTAACCTCGTTTACGGGTAAAAATTCTTTTGAAATTCAAATACGAAAACGTCGTCTGATTAGCATTTCAAAGGACTTTTTACTCAAAAACGAGGTTAGACGGGCATATTACCATACGTGAGAAGAGCGTATACCCAGGAAAGATTAGAAACAATAGTTATGTAAAATTTGGGGAGTAAATAGGGGTTATGAACTAGGTGAAAATAGTGAATACGGCGCAATGAAGCGATCAACGACTCAGGAAGTCAAATCAATGAGGCAACGTCAAGATATTCTGCTTCAAAAATGTATTATTTTCAGTTTTCAGAGAAAGAAATTAATCTTTTAAAGTAAGTTACTTACCTGGAAAAAAGATGAAATCCTTAAACTCAGTCGCATTTTTTTCGTCCACAAGTTTGCTGATTTCGTCCAAGTGGAGTAATGAGTTTTTCCGTGGCTGCTTCCCTTTGAAAGCTGGGAGTAATGAAATATCAATATAAATTTCCGAAATCAAACGTACATGACTTTTCGTCTGTTTCCTTGTTTTGACAGACGCTTAGTTGACATTTTTGAAATTTTATAGGTTTTACCATCACTGTTCTTTATTGACTTGTTTTTGGAAATGGGAATAAAAGTGTAAACCAACATTTTCAGCCTTAAGTTGAAAAGAGCTCTCGCCGTGTAACTGATTATGATAAGTAGTAGAAAAAGGCTATCGTACAGTAGTGCGATTTTGTCAGTTTGTTGATTAATAGTTTGATTGACTGATTAATGAATTGATTCAGTCAGACATGGCTAAGGGACAAATAAGAAGCTCATCATTATCCTTTTTAACACTGTAGATAGAAAGACACTTGGATCAATTTTAGTAGTTTTAAAGTCTTTTAGATGCGCACTTCCGAAGAAAAGCTTTAAGGCCAAAGCCGATTCTTCTGAAATTCTCAAGATTATCAGTAATACGCGTTTTGGTTTTGATTTATCAGTTGATTGATTCATTGATTGATTGATGAGCCCTCTTTTGTAAGAGAAGTTGAACCCCTTACTGAAAGGAAGAATTCAACTGCTCCTGCAAAACAAGGAATTCGTGGCACCCAATTGAATGAAGGGAGGAAGACGAATAAACTACTGACTGAGAGACGGAACGAGTCCAGAACAAGTGATTGATTGATTGATTGGTTGATGTGCCTAGCTTTGTATGGGACGCTGAACCCTCAATGAAAGGAAGAATTCAACCGCTCCTTAAAAACGGGGACTTTAGCACCCTATTGAATGAATTAAGGAAGGAAGGGAAGAAGGAGGGACGAAGGAAGACGAACAAAATACTGACTGAAAGAGCGAAGGAGCCCAGAACGAATGATCGATTGATTGATTGATTGCGGTACCTTCCTTTGTAAGAGAAGTTGAATCCTTACAGAAAGGAGGAATTCAACTGCTCCTGCAAAACAAGGACATCTTGGCACACAGTTGAATGAATGAATAAAGGAAGGAAGGAAGACGAATAAAATAAAGACTGAAAGACCGAACGAGCTCAGATCTAGAACGAATGATTGATTGATTGATGTTCCTTCCTTTGCAAGAAAAGTTGAACCCTTACTGAAAGGAGGAATTCAACTGCTCCTGCAAAACAAAGACATCTTGGTACCCAATTGAATGAAGGGAGGAAGGAAGGAAGAACACAAGACGAACAAAATACTGGCTGAAAGACAGAACGATCCTAGAACGAATGATCGATTGATTGATTGATGTTCCTTCCTTTGCAAGAAAAGTTGAACCCTTACTGAAAGGAGGAATTCAACTGCTCCTGCAAAACAAGGACATCTTTGGCACCCACTTGAATGAAGGAACGAACGAACGAAGGAGAGAACCAGCAAGACGAGCAAACTTAACTGACCGAAAGACTGAACGAGCCCAGAACGATTGATTGATTGATTGATTGATTGATTGATTGATTGGTTTGTTGTTGGTTGGACGGACAGATGGATATCGTTTCATCGACTGATTGACTGTTAGGTCTGCCATTTAAGAAAGACTTACATTAGAAAATAAACCGCTCTTTTAAGACGACACATCAACACCAAATCGTCTCAGTAAATAAATGAATGGCGTCCGACGGCTACATGTACCTGACTTATGAGTCATGAGACTCATAAGTGGCCATTCCATTCATATATAAATGGTGTAACTTTTGAAAACACCTGGCTACTTCTAGTAGTTTGAAAATATACGCGCCTCCGATGAAAAGCGTTGGATAAAGAAATGTTCAAGAATTCTCAAGATTATCCAAGAAATATGCGCTAAATATTTTGGTTTTGGTTGATCAATTGCCAGATTGATTGATGTGCCTTGCTTTGTAAGAGAAGTTGAACTCTTACTTGAAGGAAGAATTCAACTGCTCCTGGAAAACAAGGACATCGGCATCCAAACTTGGCATATAGTGAATAAATGCATGCATAATCAAATAAAACCGGCGAATGTAACGTGTATGCGATCAATTCTGTCAGTGGGTCGATCTGTTAGCCAGTGTTAGGAATAGAAGAAGACTAAAGTGTAATTTGCTTACGTCGCTCAGTTGTTAATGGAGCAATTGATCCTCTCTTCTTTCCAACGCCCGAATTTTTTTTCTAGAAAAGAGTTTAAAAAATTTAGATGAGATCAAGGAAACATAAAGTAAAAGCCTCTTTATAGATGTAGATGTAGGGAAGAAGATGTCATAATACTAGTCATCATATGCAGGTGAATTCCTTCATGGATGTCAAATATTTAAGGTGACCAGCTGACGTAGGCCAGTGCGATTTTTCGCTAAGACAAGACAAATGGAATCTGCATGTCAGGAACTTATCCTCTTTTTCATAGCGTCTCACACCTCCCTGCACACCTACAAAATCTTCATGGGCGTACCGGAACCATCACATTCAACCTGGTCTGCGTGGCCGGCGCGAAAAAAAGAGCACAACAGAGAGGGAGACAAAGTAGGGAATCCCCTCCCTATTTAGGTCTCTATTTCCCTGTCATCCGCCCCTAACCTTTTCGACGTCTGCCAAGCAGGCTATATTCTGGAATTATATCCTGAAGTGTAACTGAGAGGGATTTGACATTAAAAATTCGGCTGAAACGCACACATTAAGTATTACCTCAGTTATCACAGACTTGAATTGCGTTGACACATCATCCTTGCCCTCTTCTTCGCAGCTAAGAGTTTGTATTTTGTATTTCTTCCTCCTTGAATCTCGAATAATACCGTGAACGTAGTCGTCAACTGCCTTCCATAACATTAATGCCTGTAAAATGGGATCTAATTGTTAAGAAATTTTGGCTGTTGTTGACTTAAACCATTTATAAAATTGTTCAAATCCAAATCCTGCTGCTTCATCTAAGAGAAATATATAATTCTTAAACAAAAGGAAAGAAAAAAAAAAACACTTTTGTGCTCTATTTGGAGACATGATTTTGGTGTATGATCGGAGCATGCCGAACAATACGCACATCTCCCCATCTTCCTCACAACATCAATCATCCACTGAGTTAATGATACAGGAAACTACAGTATTATCCCAATGAAAGTACCGTTCGAAACATTGTTCTTTAAATTTTTGCACGATCCCAAGTTTAAATGATGTTTTAAGGAATTCCATTTTAGAAAAACTGTGTGTTTTTTTCTTTCCTTTTTTTAACTTGATAGCAAAAGAGAAAAACACCTACCTCCATCTTCACACAAGCAGTTAATTCTCTATTACCGGGGTGCCAAAAAGTGCTTATCCTCGTAAAAAAAAATGATTTAGCTGTCTCTAAATTTCGTGACTGTAGCTGAACGGGAAAAGCGAAAAAAGTTAATGACGTCGGAATGTCGTAATAAAGAGCTTGCATGAAGTAAACGAAGGTTCCGAGTTGTAAAACGGTGAACGAAAAGTAATGCGTTTATTTACAAGACAGTGCTTTTATGGCAAAAATATTTCTTTCACGTTTTGAAAGAAAGTACAGGGTTACGTTTACAGCTGAGATAAACCGCTTTTTCATACTAATATTACTTCATTAATATAAACCTAAAAACTATTTCTAAAACTAAAAACTGTCACTGCTAGCGCGCGCGCGCAAAGGTAAAATAACTTCCTGTTCGAATCACGCGCAAGTTAGAATGCCTTTGAGCAGCATATTAGAGCCCAATCTGTTGAGTTCAAATTTCAGCACTCCTCTTCACAAGTTTTCTTAGAGCGGATCATCAAGCGCAAAACGTCAAACTTTTTATGAGACGAACCAAACAGGGTGGATTATAGCCTGAGAAACGTAGAAATTCAATACTGATAACGCGCCACTACCGAGATTTGAGCCCCACTGTCTTTGCCAAACGTACAGTGGTCTTAAGCTTCGTTTGAGACTTTTAGTTTACGATAAAAATGATATCAAACATCTTCACACTACCTGGATATAACTTATAGGTAGGGGAGGATACAAAACAGTAAAAACTGAAAAAAGAAACTTAATTGTTTAATAATTGTAATGGTGGTCATTGCTTACCAAGAGGATAAATTATGACCATTTACACTGTGAATAGGCTCCTGAAAGAGTTTGGTATGGAGAGAACAGGTTACTTGGCCTCGCTTCCTCTCCACTACCTTTAATACCCCACTAGGGAACTTGCTCACACGCAAACCACCATCTAAAAGCTGATTGTTTTGTGAAGATATAATGTCTTTCTCAAAGAAATTATTGTTTCCGTTACTATTACACGCCATTATTATCGTTTTCCTTCAAAATGAACTAGGAGACAGAAGGCAATAGCAGAGGAACGAATTAATTTTTGAGACAACGTCATTGTGGTTCAACAGATGTAACGTTCTAAGGGACGGACCATTAATTTTCGAATGCAAACATTCTTATTTTTAATGTGCGGCTCTAGCTGCAAACAGTTTTTTTTTGTGTGTGTCTCTCTCATCCTGCAAACACTTTTCTTGTTTGCTAAATGCACACAACTTATTTCACCGCTTGCAGCCTCTGCGAACAATTTATTTACGCCCCCCCCCCCCCCCCCCCCCATTCTCCTCTCTCATACACATTCTTTGTTTGTTTTTGCATAGGCTCAACATTTCTTTCCCTGTTTGCCATCGCAGAAATATTAGTTTTAGCACCCCCCCCCCCCCCCGTCAAAAAAATAATGGTCCGTCCCAAAGTACCACTGCAGAATAAACGAGTTCACGGGGGTTTGAGATCACGCGCGATCTTCTAAGTAGATTGGATACTCATCCCCAGGTTTCGCGGACTCGATACACCAGAAACCAAGATGGCTGCCCGTAAGGGTAGGTTCTCGATCTCGACCACGTTTTGGGAAAAATAGGGAGCAGTCTGCTGTTTTAACTAGGAGGCGTGGTGTCAGGAAACACCACTGTTTTCTGTAAAATATCTCCTGGAAGAAGCAAATAGTGCCTCGAACTTTCTAGAACATTGATGAGTTACTACTAAAAATTCCTTATGACTGTTCCATGTAGCTCTAAGATTCTGGCAGTTTTTCTTTTACTTCCCATACGTTAATCGGAATTTGGACTGTTCACATCTAACTTCACAAGTTTGGTTGTTATTGATAAGAAAGTAAACCTGAAATTTTCGGTTTCCAAAACTAGTGCTAGAAGTGGTATCAGAAAATCTCTCGTTTCCGCACTTAAACCTTTAAATAACATCTATTAATAACAGACTAAATCGAAAAGGCTAAGGTTGTCCCATGACTGAAAAGATAAACATTCAGCTGAACATTCTATAGCACCACTTAGTCAAGCATTTATACAGCTTTTAAAGCACTCTCGGTAGCTACTAATAGCTTATAAAACAAGTTTTCCACAAAACCCGTATTATTCTCCAGTTCTTTGTCCCAGAAAATTTTCCCTTTCTGCGAATTCACCGCTAAATATTTCGTTATTACTAACATTTGAAGGATTTTTCAGTGGAGTCAAAACAATTGCAAACAGTCCGAGGGAACTTCTTTGCACGTTCGGTACAGCACAGTATTATAATCAGTTCATCAGTCAGAGCAAGTAAGTATTTAACCATAACTCTCTCCACATATATTGATTAGGAAATAACTTACAATAAAATCTCCTAATCACTTAATTAAACTCTTAGTTTATAAGATATTTCATGACTCGTTCTTTTCGATTTGATATCGCAGTTGTTTGACAATATCATGGTTATTCAGGATTTGATGTCTCTTTACTCCACCCTTCAACTCGTCACTGGCGACTCAGGACAGGTATTTTCTTACCCCATTTACACCACCAAACCATGTTTAGTTAACCTGGTTTGACAAAACGAATATCAAGCAAAGGAAACCGAAGGATTGGCTTTTACCTATAGGATTCCTGCAAGATTTAACTTGTGCTTTCATTTAGGCTAATTTTGTAATCGACAAAAAGCAGTAAACATCTTTTATAATGACAAAAATTTACCATTGTGATAAAACTGAATAGCTTTCATGGTTAATAAGGCTTTGGTGTTGATGGACTGAATGGGCCATATTCAGTCGACACTTGTCAGTGTCATATGATTTCTTAGCTTTTAAGGAAAGCAAATCAAGTACTAGTAAAAATTTAGATTCAGTTTTCTCTACTTTTTCGTTTCAAGCTGCACTGCATGGCCTTAAGCAAGTTATCCGTTTATTTTAAAGAATTTTGAAGACTGATGTAATCCATCTGTAGTGCATAATCGGCCAGTCTTTTACTTCGGTGAACAATTGTTATTTATTATAAAGTCTTTATAATAAATAACAATTGTTCACCGAAGTGGAGGTGGCTAGTGCTATAGATTTACCGAGCTGCGAATGCCCCAATGGAAGTGCAAATTGGTTAAAACTCTGTGAATAATGCCTGCTTTCTGTCCATTAGATTTTATTTCTATTTTCGGTCAAATTGGCGCTAACTAGACTTGAATGGCTAGTAAAGCCCCATACGCACAAAGCTTAAAAATGTTTAAAGGCTGTTTAGTTAAACACGGTTTAAATTTGTTTTAATTAATTTCAACTGAGAAGGTGCTTACTGTACTTTCATCGACTTCAAATTTTGTGCAATTAATTAACGTGTTAAAATCTACTTGAACTGGCTGTGTAAAAGCCTGCAGAGACTAGCTCTGTTCTAGTTTTCTGTTAATTTTTTCATTTTGCTAACCCTTGTAGTTTAACTAAACATGTTTAGTTGTTGTAAATGGCGCCACATGGGATTTCGCGTGAGGAACCAGCTCAAAAAATTAAATAAATTTCGGAGGCCATGACTGAACTGTGATGCTAATTTTTCATTGCTCATTTCGCTATTTTGCTCTCTGGTATGCATTGATACTCCTATTAGCGATCCATTCTAAACATATTGAGAGCAATACTAGCGTTTTGATGTTGTTGTTTTTTTTATCCTTTTAGCTAAATTTTCAGAGTCGTGTGATTCACTATAAAGCTGAGGGTCGCCTACACAAGTTTGAGTGGGTGTATGATGCAACAGCTTGGGATGTGGAAAGTGGAACCAGTGTTAAAGATAAGCATCATCGTAGTACACAAGGAGCCATTGAAAATGCCGTCAAGAGACTGATCGAAGAACTTAAGGCCAGAAAAATTTTGTCTTAAAAAAGAAATAGGGAGAAGCGCAATTTTCTTAACAAGATTTTATTTCCAGTGCGCGATCTATGACTATGCATTTTTTAAAAATCAGTTGTGTAATGTTATCCTCTTGTCGAAATAAAGCTCAAAAAGTACATCATTCTCAAATCTACTCTGCTAGTTGTGTAAATTCTTTTCTACAAATCTGTCAAGATCAAATGAATTAGATTCACGCTGGAAACTTTAATAGAAGAACTATTTCCAACAACATTTATGTACGGAGTGAATTAGAATTTCAGAAGATATATATTATACAACTGAGTAAAATAAAGAAAAAAAGTCAATTATAGGCAAAAGGCGAGGGAAACGTCAAACCTAAGGAGAGGGAGTTACGAACGAATTAGCTCGAATTATAAGACCACACACACGCACACACACACACAGAAAAAACATACATAGCCCTTACAATTTACAGTAAAGTCTGACTGTGTTTACCGCCATCTTAGCCATGCACCAGGCTCTGCTGTGTCGAAAAAATGTCAAAAACGGATTGACACGGCATATCTACGTGTTTTTGGCTTTTCAACAATACTGGGCTAGACTTGATAGATGAGGATAGACACAAGCAGGTCGTCTAACAAGTGCCATCCCTCAGTTCCAATTCCCAAAATCCAAAGACACTAATAACGGTGCCCACTACCAGGAAATGTTACCAGTCGCTTCTGGTTTTTTTACTTCCCACAAGGGTCAAATCAGAGAAGTTCTGTGTTTGTGTTCACATGACATAATCGTAAATATATATCTATACAGTTAAGGAGTCTTCTGTTGTAGATGCGGGGAGATAAACACTGGACGAGAAATGGATTTGCACAAATTTGCTCCTTGCAAATATGTCGCTAACATGTAAATGGTGAAGAGTAAATATATGGCAAAGATTGTGAATGCCACATTTGCATACCGAAAAACTGTGACTCAGGGAGGGGCAAATCAGGGCAAATGAAGCATTTGCCATGTTTGCCGTATGTTTACTCCTGAGCACCTATATATTTGCGACATATTTGCAAGGAGCAAATTTGTTCAAATCTGTTATTCGTCCCGTGTAAGCGGATACGAACTGTCACCTTTTTTAGGGGCCGCAGACGCTACAATAACCCCCCTAAAGCAGACAGTAAAAAGAATCAAGACTACTGATCAGACCTCTCAAAATTGTCCACACATTCTTTATTTTACCCAAGCAGTCATGTAGGAGTTGAATAACATCAGAGCCATTTAAGCTTTGACCACCAAACTTGGCGACTTTTCCTAAAATTTATCTGGAAACATTTTAAAGTAGTCGTGGCGTGTAGGTCGACATAAATGTTGCCATGGCAACCGAGTTTTGACAGTTTTTTTTCCTATAAAGAGGCCTTATTGTAACTTTTACTTATTGCAGTATTTTATTACATTTAATTTAGCTATATGTTATCAATGTAACCCAGGCTTTTTAGTGTCTAATTTCAGAAAAATATGAATTTAAGGTGACCAATTTGGGTCCAATTATCAACAGTGATTATTTCTCTCAGAATTTCATGGCTTGCAGATTTTTTTTGCTCCCTAAGCATTATTTTCTATCATGATTACCGCGATTTATACGGGTTTTAAGTAAAATAGAAGTCATTTGAGTAATTGCAAGTGGCGGATCCAAGATGGCGGATGGTTACAGTTCTTTCTTTGATAATAAATGACGTCGTGAAGGATTTTTCGAATCTTCCAATAAACTCAACAACATGACGTCATAATGATGTTAAACTACTGTGTCAATGCCTAGATGTTGGAAATGATGAGTACGTAATTCTGCGTAATTTTGGTGGCCGTTTTATGAGCAGTTTTGAGGTTATTATAAGAAGTGGTCCTCCGAAGCCATGCCCTACATGAAGTTTAAGACAGGATCGCCCCGGGTCAAGCCAATCCAAATCACCTCCTCCAACAGACAAGTGGACATAAATGAGTTAATATGACAAAAGGAAGCTTTTATTTCATTCAGATTCTTTTCCTTACAATAACCTGAAATAACGCAAATATTTCAACACTTTCTTTTTCCCGCCTGCAAACCAGAAACCGCCCTTAACTCGGGGAGAACAACTCCCATACTAAGACCTATGTCACTGCGTTTACACGGATCGTTATGTTTTAGATTTTAGATTTACATTTTAGAGAACTCCCCCCCCCTCAAAAATGAAAACCCCGGTCTCCCAATGAACGCATCTGAACAGGAGATTAAAAAAAGAAAGCTAAACGTCATGAAAAGGTCAAATACAACATTTTCAGGTTTTACTGACTGGTCTGTGAGATTGCTTAATATAGAAGAAATTCGCACCAAAATCGTTCCAACATTAAAATGGTAGGTGAAAACGTCGTGGCACAAGTACATGGAATTGAAGTTGCTCGCTCCGGGTTATGGGCCCGGGCTCCTGTGCAAACTTTATAATACGTGACGTTACGCTTGGTAAAAGACCGCTCAAATTACAAGCTTGGGTTCCCTGTGTCAATTGAAACAGTTTTCTCCCGTCTTGATCTCAGCCCGCTGTCGTCGCTTCATAACGCAAAGTTTGATCCCGCATTTGCAAGCAAATAACAGGGAGAACGTCCGCAAATTCTTGCCGGTGGATAAGGTATTCGCTACAAAATCTTACTTTCGCAATTTAATGTATTTCTACCTGATAAATGTTTTCCAAGTCTTCTCGCCATTTCTTTAGAGCTTGGTAAAAATTTATTCAGTTTATTTCCTTCGTTTTCGAAATACAGTCGCGTCCCTTTTATTCAGTCTTTGTCGGTAACATGAAATGGCAGCTAAAATAAATCGCACTCGTTGTTAAATTTTTCTTTTGTAGAATTCACAAAATTGATCTTGAGTAATTCCATACTGTAATAACTTGAAGAAGAGGTCAGAGTCTGGAACTTGTAGGTAAGTTATTTGGCCATGGGTTCTTGCAATATGGGTCAGTACAGTTCTTTGCTACAACAGACTTCTCCTAAGGAGAGATTGCTAAGAAATTTGAGTTTTATAAAGAGCTGAAAAGGAAATGATTTTAAAGTTTTCAAATTTCTGTTTATTTCAATTTTACAAGAGGCCTTTTCCTGCTAAATATTTCTTCTGCCTCGCATGTGTTGTGTTACTTTCTGTTTGCTCTTCCGGCAGGGGGAGTGGTGGGGGGGGGGGGGGGATTTTCTTACAAAGGCTTAAAAAATACTTCGGCGGGGATAAAGGAAAAGATCTTTGTTTCCGGGTAAAGATCAGTCCCTTAAAATATGTGTACTCTCGGGTATTTTGTTCGTTAACACGGGTAAAACAAAATTGTATTCCCACGATTTTAAGGAAAAAAATACCCGAAGGTACCCTTTATTCAAGGGCGGGGCCGTTATCCGGTAAACAGAGTAATTTACTTTTTCCCCCTCGAAGTACTTTTATAGCCTTCGTATGCAAGGACCCCCCCCCCCCCACCACTCCCCCTGCCGGAAGAGCAAACAGAAAGTAACACAACACATGCGAGGCAGAAGAAATATTTAGCAGGAAAAGGCCTCTTGTAAAATTATGTTATTTTTTGTGTGCTGTGAAGAGAATTTGTTTTATTGGTTTGTATTTTTTTTTTTTTTTTATTTTGATGGGGGGCTTTTTCGGTTAATTTTTTTTTCGGCCCGGGGTGGGTTTGGGTTCTTTTTGTTTGCCCTCCGGGGGGGGGGGGGGGGGGGGGGGGGGGGGTACTTGCATACGAAGGCTATAAAAGTACTTCGAGCGGGATAAAGTAAAGTACTCTGTTTACCGGATAACAGCTCAGTCCTTGAATATATGGTACCTTCGGGTATTATGTTCCTTAAAATCGTGAGAACTAAATTGTATGAGTTAACGCCACCTATTGAAAATTGTACTAATCGTCGAGTGATAAACAAGACGATTTAAAAAAGAAAGAAGTTCATTTGCCTGTGCTAGCTTAAGATGCCTTTCTTGGATGTCCTCTTAGATCTGTTAGATAGGGAGTCATTTCTGGTTTTCTACCATTAAAAAAGGCATCAATCTTCACTTAGTATATTTCCCACACATAGGGTCAGATTTTTAGACCCCTCGTGGAACATACCCGTACACAACTGATGGGGCAATCCCTCCAGCTTTCTTCCTTCCTGTCTAGATGGAAGACGATTTTCAGTTACGATTGATCATTACAATTCCGACAAAACCTCTGAGTAATACTCACAAGCTTTTTATGATTATCCAGAGCGAACGTGGATGACAAATACTTCAAACGAAATTGGCTAAAATTCGTAAACGAATGAATTGAAGAGCACTACACTGTAATATCGTCCGGCAGATAATCTGTTAACCATAAAAATCAAACTCCATTTTTGGCAACATCATACAATGGTCTGCGTTGTCTAGGTACATTTAAACAGGTGTTAGCTTGTAGTAAGAAATCGTAGAGTTGCTTACGCACATTTTAACCACCATATTTGAAAGACTTTTAATTTCTCGGCGCTTAGCCTCAGTACTGTTGACTACTAGGTGCTTTGACGTACAATTAATTTATGAACTATTTCTTATTCTGAAAAGTCTGTAAAGTAAATATGTCGGTAAATGTGAAACGGTGAGTGATCAGTAGGGTCAGCACTCGTTAACATTCGTCGAAAGGCCCTCTTATCTTTGGTCAGATTTCGCAAACGTATGATGTCACGCTCGCCTCGTGATTCCTCCTGTGACTCATGTAAGCTTCGCCTTGATCGTCCACTCTGACTTTTCTGATGACCTGATGTTTGTTTCGAGGTCTTGTCTTGCTTTTTCGATCATCCCTCGATTGATTCAACCAAGAAGATGCCACTGCATCTGTTTGGAAAGGATGGTTTAATGTTTCACCTCGATCAAGCCTCTTAGTGCATCAACAAGGTCCTTTCAGAGGATGTTACTGAGTAACATCCCATGAATGGCCCCAGATCGAATGGCATTCATGAAGAATTACACGAACAAGCAAATAAAACTCAAATGAACCACTGCCCCATTT